TGAACAGTGACCTGGTGGTAGTGGCAGAAGGAAATTGGGATATCGAGCGGTCGTGACATGACGCGGGCTGGGTGTGACATGACGCGGGCTGGTTGTGCATGAGGACTCGGAGTGAGAGCAGGAAAAGAGGTGTAAATGTAATCTCGAAAAACAAGAGACAGGCACTACCAATGAGCTGAGTTGTAAATACAAGAAAAGAGCTTTGGCTCAAAAAAAGGATCTTAGTCTGTACCAAGGTCTCTTTACACTGTCAGTCGCAATTCACGAAGACTTACACCACTGTACCACTTGGAGCAGGCCACCGATCCAAAACAACCGCATTCCCCTCGACGACAAACTTAGCACTCGCTTGCGCCGGCTCATCCACAATAACCGTATATGTCCCGGGATACAGGACGGTGTTTCCTTGTTCGTCATACCGCGCTATATCTCCCAAGGTCCAGTCCAGATGTGCCGTTGTCTTCCTCCCGGGAGAGAGATCTCGCAGCCGCGTGTACGACACAAGCGTCTTAATAGGGTAGGGCTTAGGGCCCACGTCTCCTTTCAAAAACGCCAGTACCACATAGTCAGACGACCGCTTGCCCGTGTTGGTGACCTCCACTTTCAACGGTGGAAGGCCACAGGTGTCAGGATAGGCATTACCACAACGTGAAAGAAGGTCCTTGATTGCAAAACGCGGCAAGCGGACAATCTTGGTTTTGAATGTGGTGTAGTGCAGCCCAAAACCGAACGGTTGGACCGGCGTGGGATACCACCTGTACGTCCGCCCAGGTAGCTTGTCTGAAGGCCGGAGGGTCATATCTGTCATGGGGACCGCGGCGGTGTAGTTGGCGTGGTACTGCGTAACGGGGAGACGTCCAGCGGGGACTCTTGATGCCCGTGAGAATTTGCATGACCGCTGTGCCGCCGTCTTGACCCGGCCAATTGGCCCAGAGAATAGAGTTGATTGCTTTTGAAGCAAGGAGTGGTGTGTTGTCTAGCTGATCGCCCATTTGTACCACGACGAGAGGCTTGCCCAGTTTACTCAGGTCCGTGATGAGCTGGAGTTGGGCTTCGGGCCAGTTGATGGTCGTCCTGTCCTTAGTCTCGCCCGCTGCTGAGGTGTCCTGACCACCAAAATACAGGATGTAGTTGGCGTCTTTCGCTGCTGCTAGAGCGGCCTGGGTCCATGTGTCTTTGCTTGTGCTGTTTTGAAGAACGGGTCCGCCCGCTGTAGTGACCTTGAAGCCCATCGCTTGAGTTGCGTAAACTGGTGAGTGCTCAAATGCCGGTGTTCCGGAATACCCGCCTGACAATGTCTTTGGGTCATTGGCCCAGAACCCAATCATGGCCAGTTTCAACTTGGGCCCGTTCTTCTTAACACCCAGAGGGAGAGTCTTGTCGTTCTTCAACAGAACAATGCCCTCCACAGCAGCCTGAAGCGCCACCTCCTGTGATTTTGGTCTGTTGACGTGGTTCCAGCCGAGTGATGCATATTCCGAACGGTTGCCGTCAAAGTAGCCTACTTGCACGAGACCCTCATAAAGGCGCCTCAGAGCTCGGTCAACAGTCGACTGCTTCAACAGACCTTGAGTCCAGGCACCGAGAATGTCCGAAGAACCCTCATACTCGCAGCTGCTGTCGATTCCGGCCTCAAAGGCCAAAGCTGTGCCCTCTGCGTTTGTTTTGGCGTAGTGATGATTTGCAGAAATATCCAAGACGGCCTCGCAGTCACTGGTAATGTAGTTGCCGGGCGCGGTCCAGTTCCAGTGGTCCCGGAGAATCGTTTGCATCAGGTACGTGTTTGCGCAGGCTGGCACCCCATTGACAGCGTTGTAAGAACACATGATGGATCCAACCTTGGAGTCCCGGGCACATTGTTGGAACGGTGACAAGTAGTACTCGGCCAGATCCTGCAGCGTGACCTTGGCATTGAAGTCATGCCGTGTCGAGCCGTTCCAGTCCTCAAAGTCGTTGGCGGCGTAGTGCTTACAGGTAGCCACGATCCTGCGTTCACGTTCTCGCACAGGACCTTCAAGTCCTCGGATCATGGATGCCGCGTAGCGTTTGATACGTAGAATGTCCTCGCCGGGCGTCTCTGAGCCGCGACCCCAGCGTGGGTCTTTGAAGGGGTTGACATTTGGTGTCCAGTAGTCGAAGCCAGAGAAACCGGCGTTTCCAAAGGCTCGACCCTCGATGCCGATTACCTCGCCCACTCTTTCGATGAGTTCGTCGTCGAATGTTGCTGCCATCAGAAGAGGCATGGGAAACGAGGTGGACGAGTTGAAGGTGCCGTTGCCGCTCCGGAATTGTGTTCCTGGTGCATATGCTACCCCATGGAGAGCCTCGCTCCACCAGTTGTAGGCTGGGAGGCCGATACGGGGTGCTCCTTTGGACTTGCTGACGAGATTCTGAAGCTTTTCCTCGGTCGTCATGGCGGCCACGAGGGCGGCTGCGCGTTGGGGCGGTGATAGGGTCGCATCGCAGACTTTGAGACTGGCTAGAGGTCCGTTGACACAGTCGGGGTATGTTTGGAATGGCAGGTCGATGGCATAGACCAGTGCAGCACTGCAGCTGAGGCTGAACAGGCAGTATGGGGCCCAAGACAATATTGTGCGGCTAGATACAAGATGTCAGCACTTTGGGAAATCTGTGGTCTCCCCATGTTGGCCACTTACGGCGACTTCATGATTGATTGACAGCCACTGTCGCTGCTACTCCTGGCAAATGACATCCATCCCTAGATGTACGATACATCAACAAAGGCTCTTAAGTAGATGTATAGACCGTTTCTTGGCATGTCCTTTGTGACGACACCTTCATTTGCCGTGTCTCAAGGCCGACATTGCGGGTTTAGGGTAGCTCGGTATGGAATGGTGCTGGCCGATTGGGGCGCATCACGGCTGGATAAAGTCGGTACAGCGCTGGGTTACATCCCGATTGGGGATCAGGAAACTAGATTCGATGCGCACCTATCGTACCTGGTTGATGGTACACGGCCCGACGGTGCGAACGTCACTACGAGACCATCGCGGAGTCTGTCAGCCTGTCAGGTATGATCTCCAGAATAGCTTCATCTTGTGTGCAGGGAAGGAGCTGTCAAGTGTCAGTTCACCATGGGGAAACAACGCAAGAACCATGCTCAACCAAACATTTCCGGCATCGCTTACCTACACTAGTGATATTTCATGGGCCCTATTCGTGCGGCTGTTAGTGGTGACTGACCGGTTCTGGTCGAACCCAATGTTCACGTTCTTGTTGTTGTTTAGCGATGGATGGTTGGGGTTGTCCGGTTTGGTCTGGAAAAGACATACCGAAGTGCCAGTGGAAACTGATAAGATTCCACTTAAGAGGTCAAGGTAACCATGAGTGGTGAACAGTCAATGCCAGCCCTTATGCTTGCCTTCCTGGCCATCTCAGCTCCACCTTGCTCAACATGAAACTTGAAGCATCCCTTTTCCTGTCATACGCCGTGGCGGCTCTGGCAAGCAGGTGCAAACCACACATTCCGCCCTCCCCGATCGGCACCTTCCCCCCACACGTCATCTACGACCCACCCGCCGGCCAGCGTGCCTCCTACCCCCGTCACGTCGAGCTCAAGGACGGCACTCTCCTTATCACCTCCAGCATCATCGGCGGCGACTTCTTCAACAACAAGAACTCATCCTTCCCCGTCTTCGAGAGCAAAGACGGCGGCGTCCACTGGAAATGGATCTCCAACATCACCGACCAGGTGAACGGCTGGGGCATGAGCGCCCAACCGGCGCTGCTTGAACTGCAGAAGCCGCTCGGCGGGTTCAAGGCTGGCACCATTCTCTTCTCGGGAAACAGCTGGAGCAACAACGGCACCCGCATCGACCTGTACGCCAGCACCGACAAGGCGCGGACCTGGCAGTTCGTCAGCCACGTGGCCGAGGGCGGCCGTCCCAACACCACCAACGGCGCCACGCCCATTTGGGAACCCTTCCTGCTCGACTATAACGACGAGCTGATTGTCTACTACTCGGACCAACGCGACCCCAAGCATGGCCAGAAACTCGCCCATCAGCGGTCCAAGGACCTCCGCACCTGGGGTCCCGTCGTCAGCGACGTTGCGTACGACGAATACATCGCTCGCCCGGGAATGACAGTCGTGGCCAAGATCGAAACCATCAACAAGTGGATCTTAGTCCACGAGTTCCCCGTCGGCAACTCGAGCTCCTACGGTGTCAACTACCCGGTGTACTACCGCATCGCAGAGGATCCGACAAAGTTCGACTCGGCTCCTGGCATCCCGATTGTTATCGACGGAAAGTTAGCGCCAAATGCCTCGCCGTATGTGGTCTGGTCTCCTGCTGGCGGGCCGAACGGCACCATTGTGGTGTCGGACGCTGATCGGAGCGAGATCTATACCAACCGGTTTGGTGGGGACCCGAAAAAGTGGGAGATGCATGCTATTGAGCAACCTGCTGCTTACAGCCGGGCTTTGCACATATTCAGGAGAGATCCGAAGAAGCTGATGGTGCTGGGTGGCGCGACGTTTGATGAAGGCGGTCCGGATGAACTGAGTTTGAGTGTTCTCGACCTGATTGAGCTGTTGAAGACGAGGATTTATCCTGCCTAGTTCGTCTCTTGCCATGGGCGGTGGTAATGGCCATCGTTATGTGACGGGTAGTGTGGCATCTCTTTGGTCTGGTAACACAAAAGCGAAGTTTGAGTCCTGTCATATTCAGGTGTTAGCGGATTCTCACGAAGTGTGCATCCGAAGTCGCTGTAAGAATAAACTGGACACTCATGGACAGTCGAAAACGGTTTGCTTTGGCTGGGAAAAATCGTTACCCAACGATGGTTTAGATCACCAAACTTCGAAAACGCATCATTTAAAGTCCATTAGGGATTCTTCCCTTTAGAAAGTTCCTAAACCTATGGTTCAAAGACAAATGAGTGACAGTTATATGTGTGTGAGGGTATGCCTGAAGGATATTGTACTGACCTGGATCTGTTCGGCTTCTTTCTACGACCGCTCGGCACCTTGACGGCCCGGCAGCCAACTTTTGACCACAACATCCATGAGCACGTAAAAGCAAGGCAGCCTTTTCGTTCGTACGAAGTCATCAACATATCCGTATTCATAATCATAACATATGTCTCGGTCGGCGTGCCGACCTGTCTCATCTCCATCTCCTTGCACCCATTCTCCCACGAATACTGAACCTTATGCCGATGTACCATAACCAAAACCTCTCAAGGGTAAATCATCGCTCAAAACATAGCATGCACATAACAAATGCTTTTCCCCTTCTCCTTGTCTCCAGTGCTGCATCCCACATCATCTTGCCTCGCCCTCATCCTCTTTAGCAGCCTTGCAGACAACACAGCCACCGACAATCCGATCCCTCAATAACCTCGCATGCGTCACTTTCGCGCCAACCAAATGAGCGCTCCGTTCCTCGGCTCCCAGACCTCCCAGCAACACTTCCGCATCCACCGTCTCCCCGGGATTCAGCGCCTCGAGTAAATGCGGCAAGTGGAAAACGTGTCCGCAAGCGAAGCCGACTAGCGTGTCTGTTTCATACGTGGTGAACGGTGAGAGACATTGAGCACAGTGGCCAGCCTGGTACTTCTTTGCCGCAGTCCTTGGACGGCGGTGGGTTGGGGTCGGATGGAGTGGGTGGTGGCTGCTGGGATGCAGCGTCTTGGGAGGCGAGGCCGGAGGATGATGGTTTCTCGTTTAGGGGTTGCGTCGGGATATCGGCCGGCTGGACATCGACATGTTCGCCTCCTTCCTTGACACCGACCTGGAATTTGACACCCTTGCGCTGCCCGTTTCGCAGTGTGTTCATAGCCGCTGCGACTTCGCTTCTGAGCACGCGACTGACGCCTTCCGAGATGGAGTACTGGATTTCATGCTCCTTCATGATGTGCCTTATGCCTTCTCTGAGCCCTGGGATCTGGAGCCCCTCTGGTATTCTGCGCACAAGAGTGATGGGGTTGATGGCTGTCCCCACCTCCTCAAGCAGGGCGCGAATGAACTTGGGTTTGTCCATGGAGTACTCGAGCAGATCTTCCCAGAGGTCGGGGTCATCTTGTTCCTTGGCGAAGGCGATGGCACGGGAGACGTCGCCGAGACGCTCGATGATGAGGTAGAGCGCTCGTTTCATCTGACCGGTCTTAGAGTAGAGGTAGACGAGCTCAGGTATGTAGTTGCGCGTTTCGCATTCTTGGGCGGCCTGGGAACATGAAGTGGTCAGCAAATGACAAGCCATAAAATAAGGGGGAAAAGGGGAACTGACCTTCTCAAAGGCATACGCTGTGGATGTCCTCAAGAACTGGTTGAGCAGCGGCTGATCGTAGTGGGCAAAGAGGTGGACGGCCAGGTCGGCAAACTGGTCCACCATGGTGCGGCTGTCGAGGACCAGACGGGCGAGAGACTCATGCGTGTGTTCGTGGATGCCCTCGCCACGCCAGAGACCACGCAGGTAAAAGTACGTGTAAAGCTTCAAGTCCTTCTCCTGTAACTGCGACACCACAAGGTCCGGCTTCACCAAACCATGCTGCGCCTCATCGACCAACAACGAGATGGCCTCGCTAGTGGCCTGCTCGAGTTGTTCCTTCGACATCTTGAGGAGCTTTTCCTGAGGTACGCGAAGTCCGATGAAACTGGGAATATCATCAGCTACCGCTTCAGCCAGATGTCCATCCTTGATCAGTCGCATCGCCGAGTCGGCATCCTGCAACTTGATGTAACATCTCAGCGCCTCCTTGGTCCGCCCGCTAGCCTCGTGCAATTTTGCCAAACTCTGCATGACGATGCGCCAATCTCTTCCTACTTCGCCATCCTCGACACTGTCTTCTCGGACATCGCGGTACTTGAGCTGGTTCTCCAAGGCAGTGATGATGGTGCCAACGTCAAACAAGTCTGACGGCCATCGTTCCAAAAGCTCCCTGAACCGGGGCTTGCTAACCTGGAGGTAGTGGCCAAGCACGACTTCGTAGATGGTTCCGGGGATGGGCGGTCGTGTTCGCCCAGTCGGGATGTAGTTGACAATCTCATCGAACTTGTTGGCGCCGGCAAAAGTCCAGACCCATTTCTCCCAGCGGTCGGGGGTGCCGAGGACCTTGCCGCAAATCTGGCCGGCTTGAGTCCAGTCGCTTGCTTCGACCAGTTCTTGGATCCAAAGTTCGCCAATGCGCCGCTTTTCTTTTTCAGCGAGGGAGAAATGGCTGCGCATGCCGTCGATGACAGAGGCGGTGTCGTCATAAAAGTCATCGCTTTGGGTTCGGTCGGGAGTTTCGGAGCCGCCTAGCTCAGATGCTCGGTCGGTGGCAGCCACGATCTCGGGATGTTCGTCGACCAGCTCCCATGCTTGTTTGTATTGCTGACGTTCTAGCAACCAACCAAGGTGATCGGCCAAGTCTCTCTTGGTTGCCAAGATGCAATCGTATGGGCTGTGGATGAAGATCTTGATGCCTGGTTTGTTGAGGTTTGGATGGATAGCAGTGCGAGGTGTCCCCTTCAATGCCGAGTTGATGCCTCCCATATAGCTCGACGAGGCCTCGTCGCTCTCCCTGCTCTTGATGCTGGCGCCCGAACTGAAAAGCGACTTGGGGTTCAGCGCAGCGTTGAGGCCGGTGAGACCAACGTTGAGGCCAACGTTGAGCATGTCGGTACCGAAGCCAGCCAAAGTCTCCAAGGTACCTTTGTTGGCGGCAGAGGCGGCCACATTGCGAGCTGGAAGAACCCCGAGGTGGTAATCGCTGGCAGTCAAGCGTTCAAAGCGGCTGACGCTCAATCCGTCCTCGTCAACCTGGGCCTGGGAGTTGAGGTCGATAAGGCGTAGTTCTGGTGGTGGGTTGTTTTGTCTGCGCTTGATCCCTCCTGATGGCTGACTTCCTCCAGACGCTATTGATGCGGTGTGTTTGTGACCGGGGACGACGTTGTCAGATGCTTCGTCCTCGTCTTCATCTGGTAAGCAGTATGCGAGCACTAGTAACAAGTTTTGGGTATACAGCGAAATGCCGGAAATGATGCAATCCATGCGAAGACTGGCGGAATCTCGGGTTAGTTTGGTCAAGGACGCAGCCAGAAAGCACACTTACAGCTTTACAATCTCGGCCCGTCCAGCGGACCTTTCCCCGGCGTGTTTGCCGACGCCCATGCCGCCGGGATGAACGTGAATGAACCAGATATTGCTTCCCCAACCTACAACCAATCTCTCAATCTTCTTCTCGGTCTTTTGGTGTTGTTGCTTCAAGATTGTAGCCGCAGGCGAGGCCGGCACCTCTTTCTGACCCTTGCCCGGCTCATCAGGCTCGATGGACAGCTCGTCAATCCACTCAGCTCTACCCTTCCAGACGCTGGCCATGGTATCCCACTCCTCTGTTTGCGGCCGATCGATGTGGCCAATTCGCTTCCATGCATCTTCTTGGTCGGCACTGTCGAGATGGAGCTTCGTCCGCATAATCTTGATACCGTGCTCATTCAACCAAACAACGTATTTCCCCGACAGTGACCACTTGATGGTGTTGATGGTGCCCTCGCCAGAGTGCAAAACGGTATCCTTGCCGGACCCGGCGCCCACCATGTTCCCGAGCCATCCTGCCGCCTGAGCAGCGGCTCCTGTCGTAGTGGCCGTACTCTTGCCCTGCGGTGCGCCAACGGTCAGGATGAGTTGTCCGGCTAGGCCACCAGACAGATAGGTCCTGTCGTTCTTGTAATCGGGAGAGAGGGCAACAGCTTGTACGGGTCGGGCAAAGTTGCGGAGGGTGACATCCTTGACATCGATCAGAGACTGGACACAGATGTTTCCGTCCATAGAGGATGTCGCGATGTGAATGTTATTGGAGGGGGTGTTGGGGACTCCATGGGCCTGGGCGTCTCGTTTGCGTGCGGCAGAGGCAGAATTGGTCTGAAGGTGGCTATCGTTGGATACGCTTCCCGGTCGCAAGGGACTGTTCGTCTGGGAGAAGACTCGGGTGAGAGGTTTCGGGTCAAAGGTCGGGAGAGGTGGTGGGTATGGCGATATCGAGAGACTGGTGACGGAGGCGCCGTGGGCGTGGTAGACGCGTAGGGACTGGAAGGCGGGCAATTGGAGGATGTGGATGTTGCCGTTATGCGTTCCTACTATCTGGTGCAGCCATCACAAGTCAGCAAGTGTCGTGATGTGCAAGGTATCTCGGTGACAGGCACGGGTGGTTCTGTCTGACCATCTTGTCGCCAGCCGTCAGGAAGGCGCTTGTCGCGTCGCCATTACGATACAGTGACCCGAGATGTTGGGTGAGTCGGGCATATTTGAGTCTTGGTTCCTCGTCTTCCTCTTCCTCGTCGTCGTCGTCCTCCTCATCGTCGTCCTCGGTCTCTTCCTCCTCCCCATCGTCCTCCGACCCTTCCTCTACCGTGATGCCGGATTCCCCATCTGTGCCCGTTCCGGTCCCTGTTCCTGTCGCCGTCGCCGTCGAGGTGGTGGTGGTGGTGCCAATGGTACTGCCAATGGATCGCTTGGGGCGGGCTCTAGGAGAGGTGACGATGGTGGTAGCGGGCGTGGTGTTTGCGGTGGAAGAGTCGCCTGTCTCCGGCGGGACCTGCGTCATGTTGATTGGAGCCGAGGAGTCTCCCTTCGTATCATGGCGTAGCTTGGTGACGGATCTGATTGATCGCAAAGTACTACCAGAGGTAAGTTGTTGGGAAGCGTTGAGAATGGAGTTGCGCCTAGAGGTATGGTCAGGCGCTATTCGTTGTTGGGTTCCTACCTCTAGGCCTGAGCCAGTCGTTCAATGTCCCTGGTCCTGTCGCAATGGTCGCTGCTGCTGCTGCTGCAAGTGTTCGTTGTCGCTGTCGGTCGCCCGGTCGGTTCCAGAGCCGGGGAACGGAGAGTGGAGGACCGCTACGTCAGTAAGGGCAGGTCCACAGGCGAATGGTAAATGCTTATGCCAGAAGTTCGCTCAAAGACAAAGGCAAGGTACTATGTATTAAATGGGACCTGGCAGGGTGACATAGCAATTGGTCTGGAGATATAGAGACATCATGAAGAATTATGTGGTACTCATCCTTCTCAATCATCTTGAAGATGTTGCGCATCCGTTTCCATCTGTCTAGGCAGCGGAATAACATCAGCCTTGTGACGAAACCCCAATTCCTGGCATAAGTGTTTAGGAACAAGTGTCACTTGAGCGATCCGCAGGGGTACATGGAGCACAGACCACGCATCTCCAGTCACATCTGTGGGGAGCTGCAGGGGAGGACAGGGCAGTAGTCGCGTCTCACAGCGCTATCAGGCGCGATTTCCAGTGGTGTTGACGATGTTGGTAGCGGTTCCATGCCCGACGGCGCAATTGACATGGAAACCTCCAAGAGCTTCCATCCCACTTTCAACTTCTCCTTCCAAATAAAACAAAAGACGAAAAAGACCGAATGCGCCAGCTTCGATCACGACCACATCAGTCTGGACTCAGTCCGCACTCAGTTATGCAACGATCCGGAAAATGGCTTGACTGCGATTCTACCGGTTTTCTATTTTCTTTTCTCTCTGCTAGCGACCAAGTGATTTGACGACCGACCCAGCTCCCGACAGACAGACATCATCATGGCGGCGGCCACTTCGCTGGGAGTTCATCAGCCCATCGGATTGCGACATGCCATCGACGAAGGCTTCCTTCCTCCGAACCCACCCTCTTCGTCCTACACCTGGGAGATATTTGTCGACCGACAGGTTCACGCTGAGTGCGAAGACGAGCTGTTGACCACCGACACCTGTGTCGTCTGGTCCCGCGGCGGCATCTTTCGAAAGAGCTTCAGATTCGACATTGAGAACGAGAAAGTCACCCAAGCTCTCCTCACCTACTTCCCTACCTCGACAGACTCCCACCCCATTGTCAACGCTGCCTCTTCACGGCCCAAGAAACCCACGACCGAACAGAACAAGACCGAGAAACATGATGCGAAGCCACTTCTCGCAAGAGCCCTCGTTGTCTTCCTCAAGACCCAAGCCCACATCTACTTCCTCTCCGGAACCAGCCATGTCGTCCACATGCCCTTCGAGGTCGAGTCGGCCTGCGCCGCTCCCATTGGCGTCATCATACAACGGAAACAGCGAGCGAACAATACCCTGCCTGTCACCTTACGACTGCCCAAGGTCCCGCCGAACTCGTTCGTCTCGCCACAGCCCTCGTCCATCTTCAACCATACCGGCGCCGAGTTCTCTATCGAAGGCCTGGGCCGACCTAGGGCGCTCCCTTTGAAGCTGAGCAACACGCTGGAAAACATGTGGCAACCACCCATGGAGACTCCCGACAGTCCTTGGCCTCGTCTTGTGTGTTTGACAGACCCTTTGCTCGAAATCGGTTTAGTGGTGGCCCACCAGGAAAAACAAAAGACCAACAAGAGACGCCAAGCAACCTCTCCCACCTCCAACTTTCTCAGCCCCGCCGAGGAGATTGTCCATGTCGAGGCAATCAAGATACCCGGCTATGCCTCTTCCTCCGAGGGCGAGGCCTGCGTTGCTGTCACCGTTAACAGAGAAAACAGCATGTACAGCGTCTGGCGCCTGACCTTCCTGGAAAACGAAGATCCTTTCATTGGCAAGAGAAAGAAGAAACCCGTCAAGTCGACCCGTCGACGCAGTTCCATGGCCCCTGGCATGCCCAGCGGTGCCAGCACCCCCGTCCACCCCTCCATCAGAGATAGCTTTGGTGCTCCTCTTCCCGGGAAAAAGCCACGGAAAAGTGTCAGGATCGACGAGAAGGGAAAGGAAAAGCACAAGGGCCGGGCGCTTGAGGGTGTCTTGAACTCTCTAGACCCTCAAAAGACTGATGACGCTGCCCGCAGACAGTCTCGTCGCGTTAGCTCTCTGCTGGCCAGAGCTGACTTGTCCGCATCCCAAGAGAGGGCGAGTTTCTCCGAGCAAACACTACATGCTGTGCATGGCGGTAGGAGGGGAGATTCATTAGGCAGTCAACGTGCACGCATGAGCGGCGCCTATGGCGGCTTACATCTTGGCAACTCGTTCAGTCATGGTCTTAACAGCCTCGCCGAGGCACCTGTCGACTCTCTGCTCGAGGAGCTCCGTGCTGGTGGGGACTTTGAGGGCTTCCACAACATGGGCTTGGATGATCACGAGTTCGATGGACTAACCCACGAGATTCTCTTCACAAAGGTTCACACCTTTCCTATGGAGAATGCCAATGTCCGCTACTCACTAGCTGACAAGCCGGCCAAGACTCAGTCGAAAGTGTTTATCCTCGTTGGCCCTCCTACTGCCACTGACGAACAGGGCCATGTCCAGATTCTTCTTGGTATCCAGGATGTTGTCGACAAGAGATTACAGCTCCTAACTTTGCATGTTCCGCATCCCGTCCCGGGTTCAAATGTCGAGCCAGCCACGTCAGCACTCTCCTCCAAGATTCCCATGGTCTTCAGCGAACTTCGAAGAGCGCAAAGCGTCCTTGACTCGTGCAAGATCTCGGATGGAAACGAGCAGACCATCCTCATTCTCTCCGAGGGCAAACCCGGTGGCAGAGAGCTGAGCTTGCAGTCTCCATGGAGCCAGCTCACCACTGTGGACGCGACTCTCCTTCTGCTTGATGATTTCAACAACCTCAGCTACTCGGGGACTCACAGAACAAGGACGGCGTCATTGGATCCCAAGTCAAACGGAATTCGCCTGTCCCAGATCCGCATTGATGCATTGTGCCACAGTTCTCCCCGTGGAGTCATAGATCTAATGGACAAGGACGGCGCATTCCATCGCCTCCAAATCAAGCTTCGCCCATCTTCTTCCCAGGTCCGCAAGGCCTTGGACGTTTGCCGAAGTGTTCTTCCTGCTTCGCATTCCGATCGACTGCTGGGAGGTTGGTGGCATACTACACAATGGCTTCGCGTCTTGAACCGACAGGAAGTAGACAGCACCACCCCGGATCGAGAATGGTCTTCTTTTGTCGTCTTGTTGCTGGCGAGCTTCATTGCCCTTGGGCATACGAACGACGCATCGCTGGCCCTTGTTGGTGATGGCGTCCGTGATCTTAGACCTAGCAGTAGCTGGGAAGCCATGGAACTTTATACCACCCCGGGGGCATCTGCTGATGCACCATGGATGCGGAACGGGGGTTGGAAATTCTTGCTGGAGGATGGCCTTCTTGACACCATCCCGTCAAGCCAAGAACCGCAGCCACCGAGTTTCATGGCCCGTCATATCGAACTTGCAAAGAGTTTCATCGCATCTCCTGAAGGTCTGGCAGCGCTTGGCGCTAATGGCTACCTTCCAACAGCCGTCGAGAGGGGTCGCGACAGTCGCAATAAGGCAGCCTGGAGCATGATGCTTGCGCTTCACCTCCTCGTGGAAGAACAGACATTGAGTGTCCTGTCCCCTGAAGAAGTTTCGCCTGGTCAGAGTGATCTTAGGGCGCTACTCTGGCAGCTTGCGAGATGGCTTGGGTGGCAGCAGTACGAGGAGCTCTATAGCCTCGGTCTGCAGGCAGATCTCGGCACCGATGATTCAGGTATGTCCATTGATCCAAGAAGAATAATACTTTCACTGACTGGCCCGCAGCTTCTCTTTCTAGACTGGCGATACCTCCACCCGTGTTCAACCATTGTGTCTTGACATGGATACGGCAGCATTTCACCACCGACGACGGCCCCGATTTCCTGACGCTTCCTCAAGTCTACGCTACCGCCACCGCCGACGCTCGTACAAGCAATCCAAGGGAGAGGGCGTGGCGTAACATGACTCCACGCACCTTCATGTTCAAGAAGCTCTTTGAGCTCCTCAAATCAGCCAAGGACCGTTTCGAAGCAGTAGCAGCCATGCATTCCGCTGGTTTCACTCCTCAGGTACTCGAGACATTGCCAGAAGCCATCCTGATTCCCTTACAAGACTTCATCTTCATCTGTCAGCCTAGCCCTCCATTGTCCTGGCCCACTGAGCTGCTGAAGCTGGTCAACCGCACCGATGTCAGCACCATTCTCAAACAAGTCAAGGTGTCGAAGGCGATAGGGTCAGAACTTCAACCACCTTCTCACATGGCGAGATGGGACTTTCGTATGCTGTGTCAGCATTTGGACGACTTACAAGAACACGGTGAGGAGACTGATGCCTCGGAGAGGCAACTGGTCGTTCGGACCCTGTTCAGGGAGGACAGGAGGCTCAATGAGGCTCAGAACCTCTTGTCCTCGGGCAAGTCCCGCGTGCTCCGGCTTGATCCTAAGCCAGAGTGGTCCGAGTCCGAGTACCTGGAGAAGCAAAAGGAGCTGGTTACCACTGTTGCGACCAGCACGCTTGCTATCCCACCTGGACGTGGCTTGCTGTACTACTCATTGCGGTACCCGCTACTTACCCAGAAATACCACATCAGTGGTTTCAACCTTGCATGCATCATCCGACCTACCAACAACACGGTCAGTGTCGACAAGAGTCAGTTCACGGAGGAAAAGATCAACTGGGCTTTCTTCCATCAGGGCGTTGCCGGCGGACTTGCGATATCGCCACAAGCCAAAGGCATCGACACCTCTTGGATCCTCTACAACAAGCCCGGCCAGGACCTCAGTAACCGACACGCCGGGTTTTTGCTTGCTCTCGGCCTGAACGGTCACCTCAAGTCAGTGGCCAAGTGGGTAGCGTTTAAGTACCTTACCCCCAAGCACACCATGACTTCCATCGGCCTTCTACTCGGTCTCGCTGCCTCGTACATCGGGACCATGGACTCTCTCATCACCAGGCTACTGTCAGTCCACGTAACTCGCATGCTCCCCCGCGGCGCTGCAGAACTGAACCTCTCCAAGCACACCCAGACTACCGGCATTATGGGTATCGGTCTGCTTTACTGCAACAGTCAACACCGGCGTATGAGCGAAATCATGATGTCGGAAATCGAACACGTTGAAGACGGCGAGGAAGAAGATCCCCTCCGCGACGAGTCCTACCGCCTCGCAGCCGGCTTTGCTTTAGGGTTCATCAATCTCGGCAAAGGCAATGATCTCAAAGGTTTGCGCGACATGCGTCTCACAGAGAAGCTCCTCACCATCGCCACGGCCACCAAGCGCGTCGAGCTCGTGCATGTCCTCGACCGCTCCGCTGCCGCCGCTGTCGTTGCCGTGGCCTTGATCTTCATGAAATCAGAGGATCATATCGTAGCACGGAAGATCGACGTCCCTGATACTGTGCTGCAGTTTGACTACGTCCGTCCTGACATTCTACTTCTTCGCACAATGGCCAAGCATGTTATTCTCTGGAAGGGCATCACACCTTCATTCTCTTGGATCAAGACAGGGCTCCCACTGGAGTACCAACCTCGTCACCGTTTGACCTCCACCACTCGTCTACAAAGCAAGGACCTCTCTTTCTTTTCCATCCTTGCCGGTCTCTGCTTCGCTCTGGGCCTGCGCTTCGCCGGGTCAGGAAACATTCAGGTCCGCGATCTGCTGGTGCACTACCTAGATGAATTCATCCGCTTGGTCTCAATGCCGAAAAGCAACTTTGACGCGGAACTCGCTCGCTCAAACGCGCGTATGTGCGTGGACATGTTGGCACTTTCTTGCGCGACCGTGATGGCGGGCACCGGCGATCTAGTCATTCTCCGCCGGCTTCGGGCGTTACATGGGAGAGATGACAAGGAAACCACGTACGGCAGTCACATGGCTTGTCACATAGCTATCGGAGCCTTGTTCCTCGGTTATGGGACCGCTACCTTTGGGAACAGTGACCTCGCCGTCGCGGCGCTGATTGTGGCTTTCTATCCCATCTTCCCGGCAACGGTTCAGGATAACAGAGCCCACCTGCAGGCCTTCCGCCATTTTTGGGTGCTAGCCACGGACCCGCGCTGCCTCGTCGCCAAGGACGGGGCCACTGGTCAAAGTCTGAACGTCCCCGTTCTCATCTCCCTCAAACGCAACAGTCCATCAGCCCGCGCCGCAGCAGCCAACTCGGCCGTTGACTCGCCTTTCGAGTCCTCGTCAGACGGTGTCATCATCCGCCGCCAAACCCCTTGCCTGTTGCCACCTCTGGACGATGTCGTTCGAGTCACAACAGATGCTGGGCAACAGGGCTACTGGAACCTGACCATCGAGTTCGAGACGAACCCGAGTTTGGTGGAACAGTTCAAGGAGAACCAGACGCTTTGTTTGAGGAGGAGGCCAGCATTTGAGGCACCCTTCCCCGCTACCTTGCGCGCTCTGGGCCGTGGTATGGGTCCGCTTTCGGAAGATGGGCAGCAGAGAGATCCCTTTGAGTGGGTGTTTGGACTGGGTAATGGTGCTGAGGGTAGTGGCTTGGATGGCACGACTGGCACAGGCGCCGATGCTGCTGGTGTGAATGGCCAGGGCATGGACAACGCACTTGGGGAGTTGGCGAAGCTGACCCACGCCGAAAGAGCGGTAGTCATGGACCGCCTTGGCTCTGGCGGCGGCGTGGGCGAAGGCGAAGGGGCCACAACTTTTGTCGACGCCCGTCTTGTGCTTGAGAATGATCTGAGCGGAGGCGGCATGCCGAGCCGAGAGAAACTGCTTGGTCTCCGTCTGTTGTTTGAATGGATGGAGCGGCGACAATCCTTGTCTGTGCAATCTCTTCCTTCTGCTACTCTACCTGCGTTGGCTACAGTGCCTGAAACTCCAGTAGCGGATGGCACGACAGCGGGCAGGACACATGCAAAGGGGAAGGCGAAAGCTCGAGCAGGACATGGTCCTATGACCAGGAGTAAAGGCAAAGGAAAGAAGGTCTCTGCAGAAGAAGAGAAGGAGCATGGACATGATGTACCGAACTGGGATGAGATGCGCGAGGGACATGGACATGGACATGGGCCGGGAGCGGGATCATCGTCGGGGAATAATTGGTGGATGAGAGATAGTGTCATTGAGGATTTGAAGGGAAGGGCCTGGTTGGTCGGACGAGAGGGTTGATATTGATGAGTGATGCATTTGATCATGAGTTATGACACTGGAGTTATGGACTTATGATAGTACCAGGTGGAAAAATCGACGGCGTTAAAGTGTAGTGTTGTACGGTATAATCTTACCGGTCTTGTCGCACAATCATCGCTTACATGTAGCTACCTCAAAATCAAGACCATTGGACATGCAGGGAAGACGAACGTGAATGATGAATTCAGACGTACTACAGCTGATATTGCTGTAAGGCGCGATAGCTCCATGAACGTCCGGCAATAGACTGCCCTCTAACATTCCCGACCATCTCATCTCAAGAAAGCCCTATCCTGCGGCCCTTCCACCTCCAGTCCCCTCCCGGTCATCCAGTAAGATACATCGACCACAAATCCTAAGAGTTCACATATCAAATCCTACAACCTCCCCACCTTAATAGAAACAACAACAACCCAGCCACTCAAACTCTCCCAAACCCCAAACTCGTTCTCCCTCCTAAACGTGACCTCCTCCGCCCTAACCGCCATAGCAATCCTCTCCTCCTCCAACATCGCACCGTCCCTAACAGGCGTCATGACCCGCTCCATCGGTGTCTGCCCCTGCGAATCAGACTTGAAAGCCGAAGATCTGCGAAAGAAGCTGCCGAATCCAGACTTCTTGGTACCTGTAGAGGAAGAAGTCGGGGTCTTGGGTGCCTCAACAGCTGCTTGGACAGTTTTCCGAGCAAGGGTTGGTTCGGGACGTAGTAGCGAGGCGATGCGACGAGCGAGGATCGGGGTTGTGAACCAGTTCCATGCTTCGTTGGGTCCCAGCTGTGATGTGGATTTGGAGAGGGAAGAGGAAGATGATGAGGTGGATGGCTCGGTTTCGAAACGACCCCATTCTCCAAAGGTGTAATTCTCCGTTGCTGAGCGGGTGGCTGAGCCTGAGTCCTTCCGGTCCATGTCCACGGGCCTTCCCTTTTCATCCACAGGCACAGCTCTCCATTCCCGGTTCTCTTGCACAGACAAAGCAGAAACACACCCAACCCTCACCACCTCCCCATCCCCATCTTCCCTCTTCTCATTGACTCCAGCCATCTCCCACCCTTTATCCTCCCTCCCCGCTCTCTTTCTAGCCAACTCTCTCCCCGCAGAAGTTTCGTATCTCGGCCCCATCGACGATTCCGTACCAGGTAATCCCTCCGTAGGAACTAACACCAGCTCAGCTACCCGCGGAGTTTTGGGCAGGTTGACGATATCCTCGATGAACCATTCTATGTGCGGGACGCATTGTGATACTAGAAAGGTTTCGCGCGAGGATTGGGTTGTTGAGTGGGAGTGTTGCGCGGAACGGAGGCGCGAAGGGAGGGTGCGGAGGTGGGTTGTTAGGGGGGATTCGTTTGTGCGGATGGGGATCGGAGCGGGAGCGAGACCGGCACTGGGACCGGAGACGGAGGATGTGGATGTGGTGGATCCCCGAGAGGGGCCGATGGTAGAGCCGGTCGCTTCGGTGTAAGAGGGTGGAGGAAGCGAGTCCATGTCGCCGAGATGTGGTGATTTGGACATTTTGGAAACTTGGAATGTTGTTGTTTCTCACAAGTGGTGAATAGGCAAAGTGTCGAATGGTTCAGACCGGTGGACACAACTGGAAATATGTGTCTTTCAAAGAACGTTGACAGATTCGGTGCCGGAACGGCGGAAACTGGTCGTGCGAATCCAGTCGGCGCCGGTTGTTACTTGGCGGTTGAGGCGGAGCGATGGCAATATCACTGCTGTGGGCTTTGCTCCCCGCTCGTGATTATTGGTTTGGTGCCAGATTTCCCGGGTTGGGCCTAGAGGTAAGAGCTCTTTGTTGATGAAATATCAGCTTGTGATCTTGCCCCTGGAGCTGTGAAGTAAATTCCAGTTTTCAGACTGGAGACGAGGCGTAGGTTGGAAGAAATAACAACAACAGCTGCACACCAGCACAGTAATGCTTTGTATTAATTGCCAAGATGATCAAGCACTGTAACCTTATAACTGAAGGCAATGTTGAAGTTGAAGTAGTGATGTTGCTATCGTGCTGGTTCAAGAGCAGAAAGCCTACCCCAACCAACGGTCTTGACTTATCAGCGAGATGCTCAGCCACAATCTGGGCGGACGCCAACCCAGTAAGGTTCTTTTTAGTGCCCGTCTTGTCCTTCCATGACAGGGACTGCGCCCTAGAACTGGTCACTGGACCGGGAACCAAACCCTTATGGCCCTATGCCAAGTGGAAATGGCGAAAGGGGAACGGATAAACGGCTCAGGATGTCGGTGTTACTAGTTGAGAAATGCTGATGCCTTGGGAAGTGCCCAGCCAGATGTTGGGCGGCAATTAGTGGCTTGGTGGTCATGTTTAATCTCTCGTGAGGATAAACGCCGACCACCGACGTGCAAATCCAATCGCTTTGTTATCCGCAGTTGGTACCGATGTAGGAGGTCTGGTGAGTGAGTGATTGTCGAGACGCCAGTTCCAAAGTCGCGAATCGGGGGTCTCGGTGAAGAGCTGATATGCAGGTCGTTCGATGGAGGATACCATTGCGGGGAGCAGACGGATTTATACGATCTACCTTCACAACAGCACGCTCTAGAGGTACTACTCGCAGAGCTTCACTCAACGGGATACCGAAGGATCAATAAGCTGATGCCCCTGGTTGGAGTCATTAGTGTAGAATAAGCCGGGGAAGTGGCGAGATCCAGACCAGAGGCACATGTTCCAGTTGGTCGTCTCCGTTGGTCGTCTCCCGTTCGGGCTGTGCCAAGGTTGCCAAGCAACTACCCCTTGTACGTATCCGGGGCTTTGTCCGAACTCTCTGTTACCCTACTTCGTCCACATGGGAGTTCATCACCGCTAACACCAACAACTTTTTGTGCCAACCGGCCGCAGCTTTGTAGACCAAATGAAAGAACCTTGTATGCCATCAGTTCGGGGCTTACCCGCTTATTACCGATCAGGTACCGACGACTGATGAGGCACAGCTCACTCCAAGGGCGAGATAGCCTACTCATGGTGGTGGTAAGTATATAAGAAGGGAGAGATCCCCCATCTCACCCTTAGCAGACAAAGACTCTGCCCAGTCAAAGCATCAAGCTGATACCTCTATACAAACATTCACACAAGATGGCCTCCTACAAGATTGCCGCTCCCGATGAGTACCTTGCTGTCACTGGCATGGGTGTCAAGACCCGTAAGTCTCATATTCTCTTCGGTTTCCAAGTCGAGGCCAACATCTAACCAGTGTCACCACCAGTCAAAATCACAAAGGCAGCATGGGTTTGGCCCTTCCAGCGCTGCATGCGCTTCAGCGTGCAACCGCACGACTACGCCATGAGTCTCCAGGCCATGACCAAAGAAAAGCTTCAATTTCTCCTCCCTGTCGTCTTCACCGTCGGTCCCGATGTCAACCAGCGAGGTGCCAACATCCGACGAGTAGGTGGTGGCATGCTCCATGACCAAGAGCCAGGAAAGCCCAGTGATGAACATGATGACGGGGCCACAGCCGTCTCCGACTCAGCAGTCCGCCGCGAAGACCGGGGCGATGCCCTCATGAAGTTCGCCATGCTCCTGGCCGACTCGGGCCGCGACAAGGGTCCTAACAATCATGACTTCCTCGAAGGTATCGTCAAGGGCATCATCGAAGGCGAAGTCCGCGTGCTCGTGTCTGCCATGACCATGGAAGAGATCTTCACCGAGCGTGAGGTCTTCAAGCGTCGCATCTTCCGCAACATCCAATCCGAACTCGACCAGTTCGGCCTCAAGATCTACAACGCCAACGTCAAGGAGCTCAAGGACGCGCCCGGCTCCACCTACTTCGCCTCGCTCTCGCAAAAGGCGCACGAGGGCGCAACCAACCAGGCCCGTATCGATGTCGCCGAGGCCCAGCTGCGTGGTAACGTTGGCACACAGGCACGCAAGGGCGAGGAAGCGCGCGAGATTGCCAAGATCCAGGGAGAACAGGACCGCGAGCTGGCCAAGATCCAGGCCGAGACCCAGGTCCAGAAGACGGAGCGGGACATCGAGAAGGCCACAGCCGAGGCCGTTCTCAAGACACGCAAGGTTGAGCTCGATCGTGATGTGCAAATCGCCGGTATCCAAGCCGCTCGCAAGACTGAAGCCGAGGATGAGGACCTCAAGCGTGAGGTGCAGATCAAGCGTGCCGCGGCCGAGATGGAGCGTCTCCGTGCTACCGACGTCGTCAAGGCGACTATCGCGCGTGAAGCCCAGCAGCAAGCGGCGGACGCCAGGGCTTACGAGATCGAGAAGGAGGCCCAGGCCAATTTTGAGAAGGACAAGCAGGCCACCGAGGCCACGGCCTACAAGACCAAGATCGGGGTGGACACCAAGGTGTACCAGATCGAATCCGAAGCCAAGGCCAACTTTGAAAAGGCCAAGCAGCACACTGAGGCGGAGGTGTACGAGACCAAGGTCGGTGCCGACGCCCAGGCGTATGCGGCCATCAAGCTGGCGGACGCGGAGCTTCAGCAGAAGCTGAAGGCAGCGGAGGCTATGGGCGCTATGGCGGAGGCATATGCCAAGATGAGCCACGCGTTTGGTGGTCCTCAGGGTCTGCTGCAGTACATGATGATCGAGAAGGGCACGTATGTCGAGCTGGCCAAGGCGAACGCCGAGGCTATCAGGGGATTGCAGCCCAAGATCAGCGTGTGGAACACAGGCGCAGAGGCGGGTTCGGGTGCTGGAAGCGGTACTCCTGGTGAGCAGAGCAGCATGGCGACCATGAGGAACATCTATCAGATGCTGCCGCCGTTGATGACAACCATCAATGATCAGACGGGTATCACGCTACCAGAGTGGCAGTTTGGACGGATGGCGGGACAGATGTCGGAGGTGGAGAGACGCGGACAGGGGCCTAACGGGCAGAAGGAGTAGGAGTCAGTCAGTTGATGGTTCTTTTTGCATGATGTCTCTTTATGTATTGGGTTTCGGTTTTGTTTGGTGATGGATGATACCACGGTTGGGAAGCTTTCTTGTTTCCTATGTCCTTTTTCGTTCTCTGGTCCTTGTTGACCGTGTCCTGTTACACGAATAGTAAGATAGATAGACTAACCTTGATGCTTAAACATGTTCATTTCATTTATACCGAATCCGTCAAGGCAGAGAGTGGAGGAGAAACATGATGGCTTTTATCGTTACGGCCATGCTGAATGGTGGGTGGCAGCCGGGCCTGGTATCAGTTCAGCTTGAATGATAGCTCTGAATTCGGGATTCGGGGTCTTCACTTGTTGTCTTGGTTAAGTGTGACGGGGTCGTTGAGCATGTGCTGATGAAGCGGGAAGGGCCCGAGGTTGGAGGGGATCGGAGATCTTTGCCTTTTCAACTCAAAGAAGGGAGTTCTTCCACGTTGAACTTGTCGTGAATGCCGCGTGGCTGGAAAGGTTGGTTGATCAAGTTGCATGTCAAATGAGGAGTCGGCGTGGCCGGGAAAAGAGTCAAGAGACGGAGACACTTCGGGGTAAGGTGGGGTGGTGTCGCGGACCAACACCGGACGATCAACCAATGGGGCCCTCTGCGCTAGCACTGTTAAGCGTTGCTTCCCCATGGGGGAGCGACAACTAACAGCTCCTCCCCCGCACCCCAAGATGGAGTCTTTCCATCTCACGTTACACGCACTTCAGTTGTTGACCCCACTGCAGCCGACGTTTTCCCACTCCTGGAATTGTTATTCTTGTTTGTCCCTGTTCTTCCAATTCCTTGCACAGCACATTCACCAATAACTCCCCCAAATCCATACCACCTTGCTCGAACGAACACGAATCCAACCTACCACACAATCATCACTTGACCACCGGCGATCAATGCCCTTTTTTCCCCGCCTCCTACCTGGTACTCGGTGTTGTCGGGGTGTTTAGCAGCGAAACAAGAACAGCAATGGACAACCCCGGACAAACATCTGCAGAATAGGCCCGATGTTATAGGCCTATCGACGTCGGCAGACATCAAGGGTTGCGACAGCGGCACTCACGGGATTGGGACACTCCTACGTAGCAATTGGCCCCATACATGGATTCAACATCCCCAGACTACCCAGCTAGAAATAGGCCCTCGAGCCTCTTCAGTCTAGAATGAACGCAACATGACGACAACTCCAGTCGAACCCTTACAGAACCCTTTCCATGTCTCGGGACTTGTCTACAGATCTGGCTAGACAACACCAAAGAAAGAGCCAACAGAGATAGCATCTCCAACCTGACGGGACTCCTAATCATCGTGAATAATGGTTGCAATGGAACCAGCCTAGCTCGTGGTAGGTTACAGTCGCCGCTGTCCCAATGCGCTGCCCTGGTTTGCCCCGGTAGATCATTTAACCGACGGAGACACAGCATCGCTGACATCCCCTCTTTTTGACAGAGTACAGGAGCCAGAGTCTGGATTCATCGGCCTCTACTTATATTGCCACGAGGGCCTCCATGTTTCCTTTGACCGACCTTGGATCCTTAAACCGATACTTTATCCCCGAGGCCCAACAACATCCAATGCCCTGCCTGTGATCTGGGACTTCGCTCTCATTCTCCTCGTCCAATACCCATACACGGACGAATAGTCCAGACAACAAGGACAACCACCGAGAGACACCGTGACATTCGACATCATGCTCTCAAGAGAGTGGTGGAAGAAGCGCTCCTTGCGAGTGCGGGATGACAAGGTCACAAAGGCAGCCGAACTCTCCCTCCGAGAATCCCTTGTCCCCATCTGTCTCGTCACCATCCTCTTCTTCCTCTGGGGCTTCAGCTATGGCCTGCTTGATACCTTGAACAAGCACTTCCAGGAGACACTCCACATTACAAAGTCGAGATCTGCTGGTCTTCAAGTCGCTTACTTTGGGTATGTCCTCCTCTTCATCCTCTTCGTCACTACCATAACCTCCGCTAACCACTCTTTCTTCCCAGCGCCTATCCCCTCGCCTCCCTCGGTCACGCCGCTTGGATCCTTCGCCGCTTCAGCTACCGTGCTGTCTTTATCTGGGGTCTCTTCCTCTATGGCCTCGGGGCCCTCCTCGCGATCCCATGCATCAAGGCCCACTCCTTCGCCGGCTTCTGCGTTTGCATCTTCATCATCGGCAACGGCCTGGGCTCTCTCGAGACGGCCGCCAACCCGTACATCACTGTCTGCGGGCCCCCCCGATATTCGGAAATCCGCATCAATGTCGCCCAAGCCTTTAACGGCATTGGCACCGTCGTAGCCCCCGTCCTCGGATCGTATGTCTTCTTCGTCTTCGACGAGGAGGTCGCCCTCCAGAACGTGCAATGGGTATACACCGCCATCGCCATCTTCGTCTTCTTCCTCGCCATCGTCTTCTACCTCATCGAACTGCCCGAGATCACCGACGCAGACATGCAGCACCAAGCCGCCGAAACCCACGCGGGCGAGGCCGACCAGCCCTTCAGGAAACAATACCGCCTCTTCCACGCGTCGTTCGCCCAGTTCTGCTACACTGGCGCACAGATCGCCATCGCCGGGTACTTCATCAACTACGTGACAGAAACTCGCAAGAACACCGATTCCGCCCTAGGAGCCCGCTTCCTAGCTGGTGCTCAGGGGTCCTTCGCCATCGGCCGCTTCGTCGGCGCAGCCATCATGCACTTCGTCCGCCCGCGCAAGGTTTTCCTCGTCTTCCTTACCGCCTGCATCATCTTCATTGCCCCTTCGGTCACCCAGAGAGAAAATACGGGCATGTCCATGCTTTATGTTACCCTCTTCTTTGAGTCTATCTGCTTCCCTACCATCATGGCGCTGGGTATGCGCGGACTCGGTAGGCATACGAAGCGTGGGTCGGGCTTCATTGTCGCTGGTGTCTTTGGTGGTGCCGTTGTTCCTCCGCTTATGGGCGCCGTGGCGGACATGCATGATACGGCGATGAGTATGGTTGTTCCGTTGGCGTTCTTTGTTGTGGCTTGGAGCTATGCCCTTGCTGTCAACTTTTGGCCTTGGTATAGGGATACTTGTGACGCCTTCACTACGGCGGATATCGGTGTCAGGGAGAGGGAGGATGGTGTGGTTGGGGAGATCTCTGCCAAGGCCGCCGTTGATGAGGAAGAAGCTGTGGGTATAGAGAGGCAGACGGCTGGTGAGAAGGGCATGTAGTGAGGAGTGATGTGGTTGAATTGTGGATTGGATTTGTTTTGAAGATACCCCTGAAGAGTGATGGACATAGCCGACCGACCCTGAGAAATGGCTACTGTTGGATAAAGGCCTGATGATCAACGAATATTATGACTGTTATGCATACCTCCACATCTCGTCAGTACTGTGCATCGAAAGGCATGAAAGTCAAGAAGTTGGCGTTCTTGCACGTGACAGTATGGCAACGTCCAACATTGCCCCTGAGTTTTCAGATGATACCTCCAGACTGAAGTGGGACTGCAGAGAGTTGATCATTTTCTTTCATCCTAGCGTCGTATCATCGCTAAGTTTTTCCTTAGCGTACTGAAGGTCCGATATAGGACGAGGAATAAATATCCCGTTAACGATCGAACTTCACCATTCTACACGTGTATCGGTCTGTTCAGAGGTGTTATCATGTTCTCAATCGTTGCTCATGAGTGCTATTTGGACATCAATCGAACCACCTCCAGCCCTAACCTTTAGTTGTTACCAATTCACTGCCACTTCAAACTCGAGATCGCGATCCTTCGAGGTTACAACAAACCATTCAGGGGTATATCCTGCGTGGATACACATGCACTGCAGTTGCACGGAATATCTTCCTTGACCTATTCCCAGTACCGATATCGATATTTCCCTGTCCATGCTTGCTCGTTCTCGTAGTGTACAGTACCGATGTCGATGTCGATGTCGATGCTGTGCAACTCGACCGGGAGTTATCCCGTAGCGTAGTCGGGCAAGCAGCAGTTCCCCGTCACGAGGTAACATGCGTCCGAGGACAACATTTCCTGGCGGCAGATGTAATGAGTTGGGATATGGGATTGAAAGGTAATTCCGGATGACTGCTGTATAAGGTACCATAGAGGTATGCGATTTCTTCTGTTCAATTCGATCTAATACGTCTCAATCCTGAGTTGAGCTTCATTCTTTGTACACGTCCACAAGGCATTCCTCCTTCATCGGACCTTCCTCTGCTCCATGTCTTCCACCTTCCAACTTCCAACTTCCCACTTCCTCCCCGCAAAGTCCCGTCGGTTTTCTGCTTTCCCCTGATTTTGACATATCATTCCGTACCGTCCATTCGAAACAAGCAAACACCCTATTCCCTCCCGATCGTTCGGTCTCATTCCGATGATCCCATAGAAACTCCAAATTTAATCTCGGCGGAACTTTCCGTCCAGTCCTCGATGTCGTCTATCTGCCTTCTTCTTGGACTCGCTGCCTTCCGCATAGTATTTTGCGCTATCAGTCCGTTGAATTCGCTCTTCCGGCTTCCCAGCTGGTACCGGTGTTGTCATCGCGCTAGTAGCGGTAGTTTCCGGTGACGGACTGTCATGAGCAGTCACGGGCGGTGGCTGTGCTTCATTCATAGAAATCTGGGGGGTTGTCATATGCAAGCCATCAAGCGGAGAAACGTCCGGGAAACTTGGAAAGAATGAAAGCAAACATACAGTGTCTGCTTCATCACCAAGTCTTGGCATCCAGATATGGGGGAATGCAGATTCGAGAACAAAGTGACAAGTAAACCAGTAACCGGTACGTATGTAACATGTGAGAGCCCTAGGATGCGGACATTTTGTCTGTCACTTTTTCCTATTCAAGAATCGAGCTTTCAATGTGTCAGCGGTGAGGTCTTGCATCTTGGAACACCGGGCGCTAGTCAAAACGTGGAGTGGCGGTCGAAACGGACATGTCTGATTCCTTCCTATGTTTGTTTGCTTTCCCCACACTTTGGCAGGTTTGATGGGTTTGATGATTGATGATTGCCTCCATGCGAGGCATGTCAATGGTTGCTTAAACGCCATTCGAAACTCGTGTTGTCAGGCTTCGAACATCGATTTGACAGTTGACATGATCGGTATGTCGGATAAGGAGATGATATAGGTTGATAGAATTGCATGATCAGGTGGCCAGTTGCGAGCACCAAGCCTCGGTAGATTCACGCTTGGGAAGGATGGAACAGAAGGATCAGATGTTGTCAATGTCGATCGAGCAAGTGAGACCATGTTCGAACATTACATGTCAAAATGATGAAGGGAAGGTGCAATGATTGCAAAGTGGGAGTAGAACTATAGCGCTAAGCGGGCAGGTAAGAACAGCTTCTATGAAGAGAAAGAACCAAGACCAGCCTCACAAACGAAGACTCCAAAGAACTCCTTCTTGCGATCCAACCAGACCTCCAGTCCTCTTGCTTATAAAACACACGATGTCCAACATTGACTTTATGACTCCCTGGGCCACCGTCATTCAAACCTCACGATACCTCTACCATCATACACCTCCACTCCGCCGTCTTCAGTCAAGCCCTACACCTTCCCAAAAAACTCCTTCCCATTCTCCAAAACCAGCCCCCTCTTCCCCTCCCTAACCTTAAACCCCAACTGAAACCCCACCGGCTCCAAAATAACATGACTATTCGTCTTCTGCGAATCAATCGGCACCTGTTTACCCGTAACCGGACATATTTTCGGAGCAACATCAAACGCCCAAAGCAGCGCCGCGCCAAAGACAAACATCTCGTCGTCGACAATGTTTTGCCCCAAGCATGTGCGCCGGCCCCAGCCGAAGGAGTGCATTGATGAGCCCTCGCGGAAGTTGGGATACCGAGTTAGGGGCGCTTGGAAGGTGGGGTAGGAGGGGTCGAGGTAGCGTGCTGGATTGTAAGTTTCTGGGTCTGGGTATTTTTGGGGGTTGCGATTTATGGACCTGTTTACATGGTCAGTAAGTGGAAGGGGGAGGGGACTTGATGGAAAGAGGAAGGGGGGGTAAGCGTACCATTCACAAGCCAAAACAATTGTCCCCCTTCTTGATCTTGACACCCATATACTCATCATCCCTCTCCGCCTGATGCGGCACCCCAAGCGGGACTCCGCTCCTCCATCTGACTGTCTCCTTCAGACAGGCTCTAAGAGTAGGCAGCTTCTCAAAGTCCTTGATGGTTGGCATCCGATCACCACAGACCTCGTCGATCTCCGCTTGCGCCTTGCGCTGCCACTCTGGGTGCAAAGCCATGGCCATCTGGAAGAACTTGAGTGGGCCGGAAATGGTGACGACGCCGACGAGGTTGAGGAAGCCGATCATGCACGAGGCGAAGGTCTCGTCTTTTTCGGGTTGGTCGAGTGTATCTTTCTTTTCGTATACCTCTTCAGTTGCTGCTGTGGAAGGGGCCTTCTCGGCATTCCTGACATCCGGACCCGGGGTTCTGGCGGTATCAGGCGTCGCCGGCGCCGTATCCTGCATCACTTGCTCAAAGTACCTATACGCCCACGTATCACTCGGCAGCTCACCCTTCCTCATCCTTTCCTTGGCCTTCCGGAAGAGACCCAACCACCACTGCCTCAGCTCGGCCTCTCTCTGGACTTCGTACTTGTACCAGGGGTTAATAGCAGCCGGCAAGGACCACAGCGGCGTCATGGTGTTGGTAATAGGTCCTGAGACGGACATGCAATGGAGTGTCTTGTCGGCGCTATCACCGTTTAGACGGCCCTGCGTGGCGTCATCCCAGGCTAGACGGCTCATGACACGACCGCAGTACTCGCGCGTGTGGTCGAGGAAGCGGTCTGGGTCGAAGAGGATCATGACTAGGAAGCGACGCATCTCTGACTCGACGTGTCCGTAGAAATGGTTCTTGTAGGCAGCGGCCATGGCTGCATGGGCCCATTTGCGTTGTAACTTCCAGGTGTCTATTTTCTCATTAACACATACTCACTCAGTTAGAAGAGAAGGGACGTACCATGACGATCCATCAAAGCACTGTAAACCACACCCTCCTTATGTCCAATCAAGCTCCGAATTTGCGGCCGTCCAGAGTAAATATGTCCCCGTTTCACAAGCAGCTCCTCAGCAATCTTCTCATCTGAGAGAATGATAAAGGTGGCATCCGGGACCGAAGTTGTATAAATGGGGCCAAACTCATCCGCCCACTCCTTGAATTTGAGCCAGAGCGAAAAGCGTGGCAGATCGTGGATGCGGCCGACAACGGGGAACTGGCGCGGGCCGGGGAACTTGTTGACTTTGCCCCCTGAAGAGCCACCTACCAGGCTGGATTTCTTACGCCATGATAGGATTTGTTGTACGGCGGATATGAGGAGAGATGGGATGGCGAGGTAGAGGATCAAGAGCGTGAGGTTGGATGTTTCCATGATGAATTTGACTGAAGGAGATGATGGATGGCCGGTGACAAGTGGAACTATGTGGGTAAGGCGGAGGACGCTCCGTCCCGTCTTATGTGGACTGGTCTTGTTCTTGTGTGAAGCTAGCCCACAAGTGTGAAGCGTCGATTCCAGTAAGAGGTGGTGGGTAGCCAAGACCAATGCTTTTCTTCCACTGTGTCGTCGGTGGGTGAGATATGATCGATGGGGATTGCGGCGCGCTTGGGGTGTATAGCAAACAAAGAAAACCTGAGGGGCTGAAGAAGGACGTCAAACCGAATTAGGAAAAGAGTCGAGTGGAGATTAGATGATGATGATGAAGTTGATGATGGAACACAACGAGCCAATGTCAACGACGACAGATACAGCTCTTGGTATTCCCCCTTTTTGTTTTACTCAACCCAGAGAAGAAGTGGAAAAAGAGAGAAAGCCAAGGTCTTGGAATGGGGGAGGGTCGGAGGCGAGGAGTAGCACGCTTAAATCTTTTCCATGCATTCCACACTCACAAGACAGACATGGAGACCGAGACATCGCTGTTCCAGCAGGGAGGGACACCGGACACGAGAGGAACATGAAGTCGAGGACTGGGTGCGGACCAAGCGGTGACAGCTCACACTCACCAGAAGTCCGCCTCTTCAGTCCAAATTGACTGCGGCGTCTGGGCCAGGTCGTACACTAGGTACGCCCCCCTTCCGCCTTCCCGTCTTTCCCTTCCAATGACCTTTAATTGAGACCAGCCCTCGTTCGGTGTTCGCGCCATTTTAGAAGAGATTGGTTGCCTGTCGTCCAGTCGACAGTTGCTCGCTTGGAGTCAGACTTGGAGAGAGTCCGCCAGTCCGCAGCAATTCTCATCAGGCTGATCAAATATGATACGATGGCAGCATGGCACAATGGGGTGTAAGGGTTCCTGGTTCGTGAGAAGTGAGTGGGTAAGTGTAGCTAGAGGTAGGTTGTTGGCGATAGCTACCTAGGTACTGTACCAGGTGTACGGGGCATATAAACGACCAACAAGGGGTTTGCGGTACTGTTCCAATTTGCTTAGCCACTAGACCAGAACCGCAAACGGCAACTGTCCGAGAGAAGGGGCTTATTCAGCCTAAGTATATCTTCTCCGTCACGGACGTGGGCACCACGCGAGAAGCTTGCAGTGCAGCAGCAGCAGCAGCAGTAACGAGCACAATGGCCGGGCACACCAACGAAGTAGCGGGAGTTGGGCATTCCAGGGTATAGGTGTAGGTATTGCCGCTTGCATCCATCCACCCCGAATTGTTGTCGTCCATTCCTTGCACTACATGGACTACAGGAGAATGGGAGTACAAACAGCAAGGTACACAAAGCCAAGCAAAAGATGGCTCAAAGACATCCACTGCGTGAACGACATGAAGTCAAGACTTGCTAGTCGAGGAGTTGCCTTTTCGGGATCAAGCAGTCCAATCCACGCCGAGGATTCACTACTCCCTGTTCCCAGCTTATGGACGCCACAGCCGCTCTAACAGCACCGACATTGGACGAGGCTGCCGTCTAGGGAGAGTGCATGTCTTGGGTCAAAATAGCAGGGAGTAGCATGCGGCAGCAATATGACAAGGGCGCGTTCCCTGGGTATGGGTTGGTTGTAGCTGGCCACCGAAGCGAACAAGAGGATTATGTGTATTCCCGACGCAGACAAATCCAAAGAAAGATGCATCCGTAGCTACTGGTCCAAATGCCGTCTTTCGTCTTTTCGGGAAACAAGACGGCAGGACCACGTTTTGGGGAATGTCCGTAGCCTGGCCTTGGCTGTGTGAGCTGTGTTGTCGTTGGACGGCAAATGGTGCCAAAGGAGAGCGAGGCAAGCTAACTTGCATACCCCCTGCAACCCTTTTTAGGCGCGGCTATGAATGATTCGAGCGCACACGGGAGAGGATCCAGCGCGATCCCAATGCAACATGAAATAAATGACCCGGAAGGCGGAAACAACCTCATGATACACTTGCTATACAGGAGGCCCTGGGGCGTCATATCGATCCCAGTACGGGGACAAGCCCTTCCGGTCGGTCTTTACTTATAGTACACCCTTAGAGAACCTTGCGATTACTTGCATGCTCGGTTAGCGTGCCTACTCAGGCTTCAAAAAGCGAGCGGAATCGATATCCCTGACTTCATTCGGGTGAGGTAAGGGAGACCCGGGCCCGAGGAGCCGAATGGGCCGTCCCCGGAGAGAGGACGGGGGGTGGCGGATCTGAGTGCAGGGCACAACCGGCGGCTGAGATGGGAGCAACAGGACCCAAAGATATGAAAATGGCCATTATGCATGGGTGAGGCTGCGCTGGCATTAATGGTTGGCTCGGTGGCAGCCCCAAGATTGTAGCCAGGAGTCTTCTTGATCGGACCGGTTTCAACGTGGACCACAACGAAGCTGACAAGCGATGGGAAGACCAACGTAGTAAGGCCAAAAAACCACGGGGGGATCACTTGATGGCCAGAGGTAGAAACCTTCTGCACCCGAGGTAGCAACGCGGTGTGACCATGGCATCGCGGACGTGAGCTTGGCACTTCCCCTTGCTTCTCCGTTTCCTCCGCTTGTTTTCTTTTATATCTTCAAAAGGTTGCAGTTCGACTGGGGGCCCTTTCATGATCGAGGTAACTGCCGTGATCAGGAACAAGTACCCTGATATGGGTCGATGAAGCGTAGTGCGGCCATAAGAGGAGAACCACACGTGCCTTGTGTTGATGCGGAAGGAGTTTGGGTTGGGATGATAGACCGGAAATCCCAAATTACAGTCCAAGGACTTCCGGCTTGGAATGCTGCATTGACGTCGCCGGGATCTCTATGGCATCTTGGCTACCCACTTGGTGTGCTGTGCCGGGAGTAAAAAAAGTGACTGCGTTGCACGACATTGGGATTGTCCCGAAAGTCGGCATAATCCCAACGCCGGCTTGCTTGCCAAAAAAGCCACTGGGGTAGTATGTTTTCTTGGTGCAGTTGAATTGACGAAATGCCTGGTGAATGTCCTGCTTCTTTGCGTTCAGCTCCGAATCATTGCACTTGGGCTGTTCTATTGGAGTTGAAGAAGGATGGAAAATCGGGTATGGGGGTGGTCCCTGGCATATTTTTTGACAGCGAGACAGTCTCGAGCACAGCAGACTGCCGTCTGAGGGGCAATGTGCCTTTCCATAGTAGACACCGTCGTCAATAGTGCTGGGAGCACGGATGGGTGCAGTGGGAAGGGGATGCTGGCCTTTGGCATCTTCCGTTACACAATGGCTTGAGCCAGCGACCCTGTGTGGTTGGAGGTGGTCCACCTATCCAAAAGAGGCCGACGTGAAAACCGTCGACAGGCCTTCTCGGGCTGGTATCCGTATCACACACATGCGTCGAGGAGGCTTTGCGGTGGCGCCCCGTCTGCATTTTCCATCGGGACCGAGAGGTGCATCCAAGCCGAAGTACCTCGCGATATGGAGGCCAGTGTGGAAGTGTTGATACCCAAGATGGCTGGTGGGGGGATGAGATCGGAATGTGGTTTTCTTCTCTTCAAGCCTCTATGGTTGTCGCCGTGACGATGGCTTTTCCTTTCGGGGGGGCGACCTGCTGCTGTGATTGGGGAGTTCTGGTCGCGGTACAACTCTTCAGCTTCTCAACGATGATGCGGGCGCGATTGGCTGCGGAGATGGTTACTGTTGAGGAGTACTTTTCCTCCTTGACTGAGACATCGGGGGAGGTGATTGTATTTCTGGGCCTCATGATCTCAGCCATTCATTGACAAGGGACAAGACATCCACGGACTAGAACACTCCAAGGACCAGGGAAACGGGGCGGGCCGCGCAGGGATGGATCATAGGGTGAGGGAGTGAGTACTGGGAGAGGTAACGTTAGCAAGGGCTCAGCCAGAAACTGTGAGAGAGTGGCCACGCAGAGAAGAGAAGCCAGAGCAGCCTCATGACGCAAATAGCCACCCACTGTAGAAGAAAGGGTTCTGGGTGGTACGTAGGAGCTGAGTATACCTTGCGAGGTATTAGTGCTGACCAGGTTGACCCGTGGATATGAAGAACATGAGGGGACATGTGCAGAAGCTGAGAGTGCGCATGATGGATGTAACTCGAGATCCATTTAAGGAGCATGCTCCCTTTCCCTGGGTTCTTTGAGAGGCGATGCGGTTGTCGTCGTCTCTCTCCCTATCCGTGATGTTTGTCGATATCCGAATATCAAGTTGACGTTGAGACAGACAACAACACACAGAAAGAGCCGCAATCAGCAACGCAACGCAACCTCCACCCAAATTTTCCCTTATCCAAGGCGCCGGTCAGCACGGGAACCGTTGTAGCGTTACCCATGGATGGCGAATGTTCTATACAGTACGTCTTGGTGGTCGCCCCTGTCTGACAGGATCCCATCCAGTCTCTTTCTGTCATCATCCGTCTCAGGCTTGTCGTGCACTGCTGCTTGTCTGACGCTGACAAGGCCTGCTGGGTTCACTGATCATGTCCCAGTGCAATGGATGGATGGACCATGGTGTGGTTTGGAAGGTCAAGGGAAGCAATTGACAAAGAGAAAGAAAATAATCAAGGGAGAGAGGATACAGCATGTTGCACAAGGGACCCCTCTGTGCTTCAGGGGATGCAAGTCATGTCATGGCTTTGTTCGAGGTTGAGACATGCTGACGGACTCCAATCTGTTGGTTGACGTGGGATGGAAGTTTGGTCGGAACCTGAGGATGGCCAGGATGGATGAGATGGTGAAAGATGGACCGGAAGGGGACGAGAAGTGCTACAGTAGTGTAGTGGGATTGAAGGAGTCGTGCACAGACTACTACCTAAAGGCGTCTCCTAAACACTTATGCCAAAACCTTGAGGTTCCAGCTAGCAGAGTCGGGTCCAGTGCCTGAGCCATGTAAGTAGAACTATCTCTATTATGGGAGGTAGACGGCTTCAATAGTTTATGAACCTTTAATTGACTCAATCGGAAGCTTGTACATGTCAGTCTAGAGGTTCTCATTCTTCCACGACGGTGATGTCTCTGTGGTAGATGTCCATGCCTTGCTGCTTGAGCTTGTTAGTCAAGCTCTGGCATAAGCGTTTAGGACCTGGGCGGGGCAGCTCACGGTACCTCTGCCACTGAAGACAGCCGCGCGAAGCTCAGCTCCAGGTTGATGTCATTTCGTAATCCTCGAACACGATCGCCAAACACCAAAGTGTCAGCCTTACACAAAGTCAACAACAACACCAACACCAACCCACATTGACCGCATTCGCATCTGTCATCACTGGCAGCCATACACCCCCCGCGCCCTGCCAGGATGACGACGACCCACGTGCTGTCGCTTCCCTTTCGGAAGTCGACCCAGCTGTCACTGTCGCGGGCGATCCAGCAGTACATCTCTTTGAAGTACGACCAACACCCGGACATGTTCCGCCAGGACCTCGACACCATCGACACCTTGCGCCGTGAGGCCATCAACGTCCGAGAACCCCACCCGAGTGGCATCAAGAAGCTCCAGACCTACGCCGCCCAGCTGGTGTGGATTGGCGGCAAGTTCCCCATCGATGTCGGCGCCGACTTCACGTGGTACCCGGCCCTGGGCTACCACACCGAACACCCTCTCGTCCAGAACAACCTCAAGTACGAGCTGATGAACGTGCTTTACAACCTCGCCGCCCTCTACTCCCAGCTGGCCATGGCCTCCAACCGCAACAGCACCGAAGGCCTCAAGACCGCCGCCAGCTGGTTCTCCCAAGCCGCCGGCGTCCTCACCCACATCAAGACCCAAGTCCTGCCCGAGCTGCGCATGCCCAACCCGCCCGACGACATGGACGAATCCACCCTCGAGTCCCTCACACAGCTCTTCCTTGCCGAAGCCCAAGAGTGTTACTGGCAAAAAGCCGTTATGGACGGTTACAAGGACGCCTCTATCGCCAAGTTAGCCGCCCGCGTCTCCGACCTCTACAACGAAGCCGGCGAGGCCGCCATGCGCAGCGAGGCCATTAGCTCGGCCTGGATTCACCACATGAGTGCCAAACACCACCACTTCGCTGCCGCCGCTCAGTTCCGCGCAGCCAACGATTGTCTCGAACGGAAACAATACGGCGAAGAGATTGCCCGGTTGCGGGATGCCCTCGCCTGCGTGAACGAAGGGTTGAAAGAGACCCGAGGTGGCTACCTCAGCAAAGCCGTCGTCGAAGACCTACACGGCCTGAAGCGTCGCCTAGAAGAGGATCTCAAGCGCGCCGAGATCGACAACGACCGCGTTTACCTGCACATTGTGCCGCCCAAGACCGAGCTCAAGCGCCTCGACCGCGCCAACATGGCCGTTGCCCGCGTGCCTCCCCAGGTCGCCAAGCCGTACGAGTTTCTGGGTGACTACAATTCCGAGTTCGGCCCGGCTCTGTTCACCAAACTAGTTCCCTTCGCCGTACACGTGGCAGTTTCCATATACGAAGAGCGCCGCGACAGGCTTGTCAACAACTCCATCATCTCCGAGCTCGAGTCCATGACATCCCAGCTTCACGAGATCCTCTCCTCTCTCAACCTTCCCGGCTCCTTACAAGCTCTCGAAAAGCCGCTCGGCCTTCCCGGCACCTTGGTCCAACACGCCGACGAAATACGCCAGGCCGACGCCCTCTACCGATTGCAGCAGGGCTTTGCCGATATTGAGAAGCTCTGCAATTCGGACCTGGCAATCTTTGAAGAAGGCCGGTCTCTCCTTCTCGCCGAAGAGGAAGAAGACAACCGGCTGCGTCTCAAGTACGGCACCGAGAGATGGAACCGCCCACAATCTCGTCAGGACCCGTCTCCCAATGGCGGCGCAAAGCTCTGGCGCCAGGCACAGGATATTGAGGGTTACTTTGGCTCTTCAACAGCCTCGGACCAGGTAGTCCGCGAAAAGTTCAACGCCGTGAAGGACACGCTGGCCATTCTTGCCGGGTCCGACCGAACAATAATGGATTCCATCCCCAACTCGCGACGCACCGACATCCCCGAGAGCTTGAAGCCGGCCCTCGGAAGGCTGCGAAGCGCCTATAACGATGTGCAGCGTCTCGAGTCCCGTCGGCGCAAGCGCGTCGAATCTTTGCGCGCCCGGTCTCGTGCAGACGACATCAAGCCTGACATCCTCGTCGAAGCGGCCCGTTTAGAACGCGCATACCCGACCACCGCCATCGCGACAGCGCACTTTGAGGACTTCTTTGAGAAGCGTCTCGACCGCCTATACGAGTCGGAGCTGGAGGCTGTAGAAAGGGATAAGCAGGAGCAGGAGAAGATCGTCCAGGAGGTTAGGAGGGCGAATAAGGAGTTTGAGGCGCAGAAGAGACAGGTAGACCGGGCTGGAGGAGGCAGTGGAGAGAGGGAGAAGGCGCTGCAGAAGCTCGATGGAGCGTACTACAAGTATAAGGAGATTGTGAGCAATGTTGAGGTCGGCAGAAAGTTTTATAATGATTTGAGCCAGATTGTGGAGCAATGGAGGGGATTGGTCAGGGGGTGGGTGAGTGAGCGGATGAGGGATGCCAGGAGTCTTGAAGAGTATGTTATCTTTCTTTCCATCCTTCTTGCTTTTCCATCCTTCTTGCTTTTCCAAGCTAACCAAGCACCAACAGGGAAATCAATATGCCCCCTCTGTCTTCCCTCAACATGCACCACCAACCATCTTTCTCGTATCAACAACACCAACACCAACAACCTCCACCGCCGCCCCAGATTCCTTTCCCCGAACCCATCCAGGCTCATCAGCCAATAGTCGAACAAGCCCACATCCAAAGCTGGGCAGACAACGTACCGCAGCAACAGCCGAAGCCAGTAGCTCCTGGTGTGTGGGCACCCAACATGGGGATAAACTTTGGTTCACCTGGTGGCCAGGGACAGCAACAACAACAACAACAACAACAACAACAACAACAACAACAACAACAACAACAACATCAAGAGCAGGGGCAACAAGGACCGGTGAACGCCACTTGGGATCCTTCACAGGGGATCCGGTTTGGTTAGCCGGTAGTTGTGTGCTGATGTAAAGGTGACTTGATCAGGACGTGAAAGGAGACGGACAAGAGTCAAAGTTCATACAGTCCATGAGTTCGCATACTGGGGATATTATTTGGTGGGCCAGGACATCGAGTGAAAGCATAGCATAGCGGGATTGGAATTTACTAAGATATATCTTTATACGGACCGGAATATCGAAGACTGATCTTGGCTCGTTGAATCCGTTGAACGGAGTTCAACGAAACCTTGAATACGTCAGTTTATGTGTCGGGGCCACCTTCAGAGTTAAGGTAAGGTGTCTTCCAATCTCGAAGGCGTTCAATTCGGTCTTCATAACCTATAGAGAAACAGGTGGCTCTGCACTTCGCTCGGCAATCACCACTCGTTCTTTCCAACCGATGCATCGTGTCTATGTTGGAGTTGGACCTGCTTCAACTTTGGCAAACCTTCCATTCCTGTTCGAGTTTCGATCAGCTGAGAAGGGTGTCGTGTACGATGCGAAGCCAAACCATCGTCGTTGCCATCTCGTCTTCAGACACTCTTCAGGTCCAGATTCGGAAGAGACGATGCATCAAAACCGTCAACGAAAGCTGCAAACTTATCTAGAAAAGAATCAGCAACTGAGAAGTGAAGAAGGCAGGAGTGGAGGACACATCTCGCGTGTAAAGGCACATCTTCTCCTCGAGCAACGAACAACTTCTTCCGAGCATTGTCCACAACACCACCACTTTCGTTCCATCGACGCCAGAACTACATCATTCGTTTAGAACCATCATCAACAAGAGTACCATTACTTTGAACCAATCGCCAAAATGTCAGTAGGGTACATTACCGCCCCCACCATTCTAGGCTGTTCTTGGCTTCTCTCTCCAGTCCATCTCCTGTCCTCAAGCATTTGAGAACACCCACTAACCCTCCTCCGTCTCCCAATCCACAGGTGTCACTCCGAGCAAACCCGCGAACTAATCTCCCAATCCGGCAACCTCAACTTCCCAAACAAATGCGAGCGCATCACCATGGCACACAAAGATTGCCACTCCAAAACCTGTCCGCAGTCAGAATCTTACGAGCCTACTACCTCTAGTCATAGTCTCTCAAACGGTATCACACCCAGCTTGAGAGCCTCCACCACACCCCGAGCCTCGACCAGTTCCTTTCATGTCTCCAGCGCGAATACCACGGCGAATACCACCGCTTACTCCGGCTGCTCCAACTTCGCCAGCTCAAGCTCGAGCTCGAGCTCGAGCTCGACCTCGACCTCGGACCCAAAGTAGGAATTACCTGTGCCTCAAGCGTCTACGGGCACTACTGGGAAGAAGTCGGTGTTTGAGAATATGCGGGGGGAATATGAGAGTACAAGGAGGAGGAAGTTGGGCTTAGGCTTAGGCGTAGAGATAGGCTTAGAGAAAGTACGTGAGATTAGTGGGATTGTTGGGTATTTCCTTGGGCAACGAGAGGAGGTACTTGATGCCGCTGTGGAGATGAACATGAGGGAGGCTGGGAGTGGTGGGAGGGCCGCCCTTGGGGAGCAAAAGGAGGAGGATAATGATCATAGACAGGATGTAGAAATGGGGGAGGCTAGAGGTAATGATGGTGATCATGTTCCTGTGAGTGTAGGCACTGGGAGCAAGCGGAGTGCGCCGGCGGATTTTGAAGGTCAGAATCAAAATGACCAGCAGCAGGGGGGAGGGAAGAGGGTTAAGAGGGAGGAGTAGAGGGGATGGGGGTCATGTGTGGGAGGGTAAGGTGGGAGGGGGATACGGAGAAAGGGCTTGGGGGTCTGGTGATGGAGGTACCGATCTGAAGGGGGAAAATGGTTAGACCCAAAGTCTGAATGGCGCAAAGAATTTGAGGGGTGGTATTGGGATATGGAGAACAGAACAAAATAAGGAGTTACAGCGGTTGTTTTGGGTTTTGGGTTTTGGTTAGCGCAAGTGAGGTATAGGGAGAGAGATGATCAACAGCAGTTCTTCAAAATATCGTCGAAAGCATTCGTAATGCCATTCAACTCCCTTCCTGTGGCTCTGTTATGCTCTAGTTTGTGATCCGCACTTTTTGGTGCCACGATGTTGGATGTTGACGTCGACAAGACACCCGGATTGATGAACCACCCGCTCAGGGAGGGCCGGACGGGTTGTTGGCACCGATGTAGAAATTGTCCAACGTGCCGAAGAAGTGGAGAAACGCCACCCGCCGTGATGTCCAGCATCCCGCAATGATCATAAAAGGGTAGCCAACATCATATTGCTCGTCACAGTTTGCTTGCTCGCTACTGGCGTCGATATCTAAGCTATTAACATGGCAATAGCACCACCTTCTTACACCTCTTTGTTCTCCACCATTCATGGCAATATCATGGGCGGCATCAAATCTCTTCGCAAGTCTAACAACCAACCAACATCGTCATGGTCCAACTTCCAGATTCCCAACAGATGAGTGTCTCGTATCGTGTTTCTTTGAGGCCGGCCGCGATGCCAGTCAAGGGTTCATGAGCTGGAAGCCGTCGCAAAGGTATAAAGTCCGCATCATCGACCTCTCAAGGAGACATTTATCCTACCAGTAACCAGAGCCAGAAACAACCAGAAACTCGCTCCCAAGAAACCATCAAAGCCAAAAGCAACATTGCCCATCGTCCACAGTTCAGCAGAAGCAGCTCGAGCCAGCCTTTTACCAACAACTCAGTTTCACTTCGTCCAGACAACCATCAATCAAAATGTAATGACCACCGCGTGCTCTTCCTCAATGCAGACAGAATCAAACCCGCCCCTGATTCCTGGAAGAGTTCTACTAACGCGGCATCAACAGGTGTCAAGCGCTCAATGCAAAGAAGTTAGGAAATAACGGGAAACCGATATGGAAGAAGGTGAAAGACTGCAAGTCTGTGTCGTGTGATGCATCCAAGAAGAACCCCAATTGGTCGCCCAATCCCAATATGATAGAGCTTGATGAAGAGGTGGATGAGACTAAGGACGGCGATGGGCAGCAGAAAGGGGAGGAGCAGCAGGAAGGGAAGTAATCTGAACTATCTGCCTGCACTGCTGGGCGTGACCTCGGATACCAGACCTAAGGCATAGGAGGTCTTGAAGTTTCGATCGAAGCGACGGGATGTCGAAGGGATGTGCAGGACATAACCTTTCAAGATGGCGGAATGCCCAGCTATAGCGATGGACTAGGAGGAACGGGAGAAGACCAAGTCTAGGGATGTTTCTTTGCGCTGGTCGCAACAGATGGATTTTTTATATCGAGGACGCGATGGTAAGTGAGCCGCCGAGGAACAGGGACACTCTTTTTGGAAACAACACGGGCATAAATGTTCAGTTGTAGGAGAATCTTCTCAAGCACTTGCTCACTCTTCCCACCGGTGGATGGAAGATAGACGCACTTGCTTCCAAAAAATACAAAGGAATCTGGTGGACATTCGCGCCTTCTTTTATTGATCGTGACCAATATGCCACTCACTGGTGATGACTGCTTTTTTGTTGTTGTTGTTGTTTGTTGTTGTTGTTGTTGTTGTTATTTTTTAACGTCTACTTCCGCCTCCCGTAGGGCATGAGACGTGCCGCACCGGTGAGTCTAGCATACAAATTAAGAGCAATGCCCTAACTGTCCACCAAAACCATTAATCCGAGGGCAAACCGAGGCCTATTGCCAGTGTAAATCATGTGTTGCCCATAGCGTAAACGCGGCCCAACACTTGTAATCGAATCGCCCAGTGGGCGAGCTGCCAGTATATGACGGAACCTGTAGCACAAAGGAAAAGATAAAAGAAATGACAAAATCACTCCTCTCCACTCTCGCTCTCGCTCTCCTCCTCCCGCAAGGCCTCCTCCTGTCTCCTTGCACGGTGAACTAGGCTGTCCAAGTCCACCGTAACCCTCTCAATATCGTGGCCATGGCCAACCTCCACCCCTCTACTCCGTAAAAACCCCGTTGTGACGAACCGTTACAAGCACAGGAGTATTATCGCTGGGATAGAACAATAGAGTAACGGAGTAGTAGCCAAAAGGTACTGGTAGGTTGTGATAGCTATTGCTTGCTGAAGAACCGGTAACAAGAGGCCGGGGAAGGCCTTCTTTTATACCGGTCTTCATGGACCCGATATACTGGACCCGTGGACCCGAACCTTCGTCTCGGGTCCCCGGGACCCGGGCTTAGGACCCGGGGCTTCGGGTCCTCCCTTCGGGTCCGATCTGATTGGTCGGCTAGTCTAATCTCCATGATTGGATCGTAACATCCGTGTCTCCTACGGGCACTGGTACCAGGATTCAACCGATGTAATTCTCAAACTGCTCAAATCTCGCTGTCGTTTTTTGTATGATTGGTGGTAAGCAACGGTAGGAAGTATACCACTTGATTTGTGCATGGTATTGAGGCCCAACTACAGCTGAGTGAGGTCAGTTGAGAAAATGGATCGTCCTTGTGCCATTTTAACCTCGTGAATACATACGTAGGTCCCCGTTCCGTTGACGGTGGAACGCATACCTTGAGATACCCTCTCCAAACAAGGCTCTTGATGGTGAGCCTAGGGGATGGAACTGTGGTACATCTTGCTTGCTGCAATGGCGAAACCTCGCAGAAGTCAACGAACTCAGCCATAAAAGGCCCGCGGATCCCCCGAGAGCGATAATAATAATAGCCTTGGCCCATCAGTTTTGGTTCTTCCGTAGCTGCCCAGGACCATGATGGGAGCCCCAATCCAGTGGGCGTCAATTTCGCTTTCATCTTAGATAAAGTAGGTCGCCATAGTAACTCAAGAGGCCAGAATTCTTTCCATGTCCCGGCCACATTGGTCCATCCCCTACTATCCTGGACTGCTTTAACAATTCCCGCCAGCGCCATAAGCTTGTCACTTTGGTAGCTCAGGTCCATCTTGGTGTAGTCAGATAAAAGCTTCGTCCAAAGAGAATACACCTCAAGTATGTCGGGGTCCAAAGGCATGCCGGTTGAATGTGCTACATCGGTAGCGCTATGTTCAGAATCACAAAGCGCATGGAACGTCAGCTTTGGTAATTGCGTGATGTTTGGTCCGGCACCAAAGGCAAAGGTAAAAGCCTCATTAGTCCTGAAATGACAACATTCCCAATGAAACTGACTGTGTCCGGTACAAATGACTCGAGAAGAAAGTAGCCTTTCTTGCATGATCCAACCCCGCTGAAAGATATGCGAGTCCTTATTCATTTCGTCAAAGTCCCAGTTCCAATCATAAGGAATAGCGTAAACCGGAATGTGGTGGTTGGCCACATTGATATGGCAAGGGAAGAGAGGGAGGGGATTTAGTTGCACATAACAACGATCCCATTTCGCCGGTCCTGAAGCAGCAATAGTGCAAGCAGAGTTTCTGTGCACGTCACACATGGTAACTGCTTCGTTTTCCCAGTCCTCATGTGAATCTTGGATGATGCAGAGGGAGTCGATCCATATGTACTGATAGCCTAACCGTCGCGTCATACCCATGGCGTTTCGAAAGGTTTGAGGTAGGAATTCAAGTGGTATTGCTTCTTGTAGCTTTTGTAGGTTTTCCGTTCTCAGTTTCAGCGAGGTTGCTTTGGTCGTTATACTCCATGAAGGACTGAGCGTAAAGTACGACGTGGCTTCCAGTGTAGAGGAAGCTGAAGTAAGGACAAGCCTGGGCGCAAGTTGCCCTTGGGCTTCTCCGAAGTAGATAAGCCGTGTCGGAAGCTTCACTGGTGCGGATTTTGCCCGTGACACCGATCGCATCCCGCATTCTGTATGCTCTTTGAGGCATTCTTTTAACCAAAATCGTGCAGTTGAGAGAGTCTCTTCTGAATCGGTAGAAGTTGGAAGAAACGGAGCAGACCCTGATGTCCCGACAGAATAAAGGGGACTTTGTTTCCCCAAGGAACTCCTTAGCAGGCTTATACAGCAATTTTCAGGGCAACGCCACCTCAATCCAGAGAGAACGTAATTGTGGGCTTCTTACTTACCTCTATATCTCTTCAACAGGATGCCAACCATCCGTGGCTCATGCGTCGGGTCACCAGTGACAGAGCCCGTGTCAGGAGGACTAGACGGCGCAACCACAAAAATTACCGGGACGTAGTTCTGCGAGCGATCCTCTGCCACTTCAACGTCGATAAAACCACAGCCATGTTCGACGGCGTCACACGGAAGCATATGCCGTACCAACGAGCAGAGGTGGCAAGTGGTGCCTGCCTCGAAGGCCGGTATGGACGGTAGGGCATGGCTGTGGGAAATGAGTTCCGTTCTTTCGCCGCCTCTCAGCCTCTTCCAGATGGTATACGCATCTTCAGGCTCCGCGGTGCCCATGAACTCTTGGATGATCCTTGACTTGGCAATGAGCTGAGTACATTCAGCGCAAAGAATGTGTGCCTCCACTTGGTCGGGAATAGTGGTAGGATATGGTTTGGATCCTTCCGGTTCTAGGGCCTGGCTGTGATCCTCATGCGATCCCGGAGGTTCGTCTTCAGAGGTGAAGGTATCCAGGGTCAGTGTGGACAGGGCGGGCAGGGGATTCTGTTGGCTGGTGGCGGGTGGTTGAGTAGCAGCAGCCAACATCGAGGAGGTGAGGATATCAATGTGACGTGCCGGTGTTGCAAATGGAAACGTTTAGAGGACCGAGCAGCTTTTCAAGTTCTTTCACAACGAGTCCGATGCCCGCTACCCCCGCGAGCCTCGCAAGCCCTGTTTATCCCCGCTTGTAGGGTACATGTATCCGCATACCACAGGTAACGTCGAGGTTGCATGGCTGGCGCCAATTTGATCCGAGGGAAGAACCAATGACATGACCGGATATGGGAAGTTCGGGGATGCGTATTTGGAAGAAGAAAAGAGAACCACTGAACAGCAGCGTATGATGAACAGGGACTAGTTGCGAGCATGAACAGATGGACATCTGGGCCGGAGCGATGGGCATGAAAACATTCGGTAGGTAGTGTGCGATGTATCTTGGAAGAAAGCGCGCAAGATCGGATTGTAATCAAGAGAGTTGCCAAAAGTTGCATCAAAGTGAAACGAGAAGAAGAGTGGATGACTACCTACTGTAGACCATCACGGCCTGGTCTGAAAGAAAGAAAAGAGACCCAGAAAGTGCCTCGAGAAAAAGGTCTGTAGATCCGGGGGGACGACTTTCACAACCCAGTAACCCATTGGATCGATACGAAGTCGCTCCTGCCCCGAAGTAATTGTACTTGAACGCTACTTCCTATGAAGAGAACTACTGCCAAGTACCTTCCCTCGCAAGCCCAGAACAAACAAATATCCACCTCCCGTCTGTTCCCACTCATCAATGACAGATAGAGGAAATCGCCGTTGATGATGAACACAGAAAGGAATGGCCCATGGCCCCGACGAGAGAAAGTACCTAGACAACCGGCGTGCCAAAGGAATGGAACATTGGGAGGAGACACAAGGCAGGAAAAACACCTCTCAGGCTGTTTTTCTCTCGCACAGCAGAAAGCCAAGGCCTCCTCTCATAACCGCCCTGCGTGGACCAAGATTTTTCTGTCGAAGAAGCGCCCATTTGGCTCCCATTTCTCCCGATAATCTCCTGATTTGACTTCACTTGTGGCTCCTTCCCCTCTCCAATTTCCCAATCTGCACCCCTCAAGTTCCTCCAAAGGAAGAATCAACCTTCAACCCTCAACCCTCATTCCTCAACCTCCACCCCCTTCAACTCCCCCTCCGTCCACTCCCACAACCTCCTCCCCAGCTCCTCGTCCTTCGCCCACCCACTTTCCCCCACCCGTTTCCCCACAGGCAAGAAATACCCACACCTCCCCTTCCCCCCTTCCTTACCACTAGGGTCAGCAGCCTGCACCACCACCTGCTCCCTGGGAGCCGTCGCCGCCCAAACCTGATTCTTCGCTCCATCCTCCACCGTCGACAAGAAAAACTTGAGCACGCCCGTCGCCGCCCAGCCCACCCAGCCGCTATCGCGGAACGGATGGAAAAGCCGCGTGTTGACCGCGCCCGGGTGCAGCGTCAGAATCGTCAATTCATCGGGGTAGTGAGCGGCCAGTTGTTTTCCAAACAAAATGTTGGCGAGCTTGGATTGTCCGTAGCGTTGCCAGGTTAGGATGGAGGATTGGTTACTCTTCAAAGTGTCGAAGTTGATGCCAGATAAAGGTGTGAAGCGGTGGCCTTCAGACGAGAGGATGACCACGCGGACGTCGGGGGTGATGGGCGGGGAACCATCTGCCGGTCGCGGGAGGTCATTCCCTGTTGCGCTGCGTGCGGTTTTGAGAAGCAAGGGGAGCAAAAGCTTGGTGAGTAATGCGTGACCGAGGTGGTTAGTCCCGAACTGGATCTCGTAGCCTTCGGCTGTGACGCCGGTGGCGGTGGCCATGATGCCGGCGTTGAGCATGAGGATGTCGAGGCGGTCGCTTTCCTTGAGGACGACGCGCGCGGCAGATTTGATGGAGGCGAAGGAGGTTAGGTCGAGTTCGAGAGGTTTGATGATGGAGGAGGCGTCGAAGTCGGGGTTGACGCCGGAGGCCTGGACGGCGGCGGAGATATCGTCGATGGCGGATTGGGCGCGCTCGAGGGAGCGGGAGCAGAGCCAGATGCGCGAAGGGAGAGAGGACGCGGGCTGGCGGACGAATTCCAGGATGGATTGCTTGCCCAGGCCGGCATTTCCGCCCGTTACAAGAATGGTTTTGCCATGGATCGCAGAGGACGGGATGTCGGTACGGGGGTTGAAGGACCTGCCTCCTGAGAGGAAGGGTATGTAGTTCATTGCTGTGGTTCAGGCTGTGAAAACGTGTTCTGCGAGTGTGTTCTGTGGTGAGATCAAGTTCGTGGTGTTGTGGGAGCTAAGGGTTGATATCCGGTGGATGTTTCTTGTTTATGTCGGTATGTGACGTTCGGGGATTTGTCATGATGCTATCAAACGATATGCGAGGTGGTCCGGGCACCTGACCATTTCCGTCGCCGGGTCGGATCGGAGATAAGAAAACAGCAATGACCAGACCGGAGCGGATATGAATGCTGCGGATCAATGCCGATACTGCTTCTCCGACATTTCGGAAGAGCAGTCAAGGAAGTGGGAGGGAAGGAAAACGCTCCCGACATATCGTTCAATAATACATCCATGACTGCGTGGCGTTGAAAGCAACGTTATTGGTGATGTCAGCACTGTCTGCGTAGCGGGCGGTCAGGAACAGGGTAACATCCTGCAGTTGACCCTAACCCTGATACAACCACTCATTGTCTCTTCGAAAGCACCCCGTCGGTCATAGTCATGCTCTCCGAGGACTGGAAATTAATATTATCTATCTCTGACAGGTATCTCTACAAAATAAGCATAAAACAAGCCTGATACTGATGAATAAGAACCAACAAGGAAAGTCTAAACACCATGCAAGCACCTTTTGGTATCTCCTCTAGACGACCCGTAACGCCGTGAAATGCATCATCAAACATACCATAACCCTGTCAATGCAGGACCCCAGCATCACATCATCCATCATCATTCATCAACCTCTCAGTCGTAAACACTCGGTCTCGACCACTTCGACCTCCTCCGAATCCTCTTTCCATAGACGAAAAACACAAACGGAACAGGTATCAACAAAGCCGCAAACCCGCCGGTAATCGACGATCCGGGGCCGACACCAATGTTGTGGAACATGGGTCCGACAACCAAGGGAAACGCACACGCAAAGCACGAGCGCAGGAACGTGTTCGCGGCCACTGCCGAGGCCGAATATCTCGTAAATGTGTCGACCAAGTAGTTCAGCGCCGCCTGGAAGATCATGAAGAATCCCGATCCAAGACAAACCAGACCGATACAGGGCACGATCCAGTGGATGTCCTTCGGCGCAGTCCAACCGAGCATGAACTGTCCACCTGAAAATATGACGGAGCCAACCATCATAGGCGGTAGACGGCGCTCAGGAACGGCGCGATTGCCAGCGGCGCGGTAAGCCTTGTTGTACAGGAACTGGTTATAGACGTTCGCGCCGCAACCGATCATGGCACCAAGGAAGATGCACAAGAACGGCAGAGTAGCAACAAGCTGCTTCCAACCGCGCACCTCGCCGAAGATGATGGGGATTGCGCCCAACTGCATGTACAGGATACCGTAGCAGAAGCTAGCGTAGAGGGCGACGAGGAAGCAGATGGGCGTGCAGAGGAGCTGGACAGGGCGGAACAAGAACTTTTGGGCGAGCTCGGAGAAGCTGACATCCCATTCCTCAAACTTAGCGTGGAGCGCCCAATTGCCGGTTTCCATGCGCAGACGCTGCGCCTTGTTGACGAGCAGGCGCGGAGGGTAGGATTCGTCAATGAAGATCATGCCGAGGACGAGAACGAAGGCTTGGAGAATGCCAGTGAGGTAGAGTGTCCAGCGCCAGCCAAGACTGGGTTGAATGGCAACTGCCGCTGAGACAACGGGGCCTTTAAAGATGGGATGCGCGGTTAGCTTCCAGGCGAGGAACAGGACCAAGAGATGGACATACCGATAGCTGGGCCGCCAACAACTGCCATGGCATATCCCGCCATAGCGATACCTCTTTCCGCAGGCGAGAACAAGTCTCCCAGCACACCACCGGTGTTGGTCACAGGGGCCGAAGCAAAGAAGGCACCGAAAAAGCGAGTGATCATTAAAGTCTGATAGTCCTTCGCAGTAGCACTACCGAAGCTGAAGCAAATGGCAAAGAACATGGGCACGAAGACGGCCACTCTCCTCCCGAAAACCTCACTCAACGGCGCCCACAGAAGGGGGCCGATACCAAAACCAACCAAGAAGATGGAAGTGCCCAGGACCGCTACTTGGTGGCCAACATGGAACTCTTTTGACACCAGTGCAGTACCGGCCGAGTAACTGGAGGAAGCCCAGCTGGCACTCATGGTGATCAAGCCGTAAAGTAGCGTGGTAATGACCTTCTTCTTCATGGGCCAGTTCATGGGCCGGTAGGGGTCGTCGGGGCCATCAAAGTCGACGATGACATCCTTCCCAGTCGGGGTGTGCGCTAGCGGGTGGGTGAACTCTTGACGGGCGGTAGGACGAGATCGCAGGCGCGAGAGGACGGTGTCACGACGAGAAACTGTCTTTGCAAGGTCAAGTCTGCCAGTAGTGTTGGCGCACTCTGGTCCTTCCTTGGTGCTGGGTCTGATGCTTCTGTTAGTGCGACTGCGTGTCAGGCGGATGTCTCGGCTGGTGATGCGGTGGCCGTCATAGTCGTCGTTATCTTCGTCGCTGTCCTTCTCGGTGTCATATTCGTCATCGCTGCTGGAAGTGGTATTCATATGGCTGTTGGTGTGGCTGCGCGACATCGGCGAGTGATCTTCAGGGTCGTCGAGATGGCCCAAGTGCTCCGGCCTGTTGGTGTCGAGGCGCTCATCCTGTTTCTCGGAAATCGACGGCGCAAGTGGTGGCTGTGGTGGTTCATGCATCTGTTCCTGCTGCTTCTCGGTTGCAGCAGCATCAACCGGTTTCGGATCCGACGGCGACATGGCGACTCGTGTTGGAGGGAAACCGTGACCAAGTCCGGAAATTTCGTTTTTCACAAACGGAGGGGAGTTCTTCCCATCCCAAAGAAAGTGCGATGGGACGAGACTTCCTTTTTAATCCGAATTCTGTTTTGTTGCTCCTTCCATGTTGGCATGGGTCATTTCGAGGGTGGCATCCGCCAGTGGGGCGGTTCAGGGAAAGGTTAGCCGACGTCATAGGCCGGATTGGCTGATGGACGGCGATTTGCAATAATTGGCAAGGGCAACTGACTGAATTGACTAAGATCTTTTCAGGAGAAGGAAGGTGCGGTGAGTCGTTGACGGATGTAATGGCTCTCCTGTCGTTCTGGATTTGTCACGAGCACATGTCCGGTCCACTGGAACGCTGCCTGATCAGTCATATTTGCTCTTTTTGCGAAGACAGTTGTCCGGGAATATCGCGGACGATTTGATATCTTTCATTGATAACAAGTTTCGGGCTTTAAAAATGCTTTGTTTGTTCTCAGAACAGTGGTGGGGCCGAGCCGTTTATCGGCCAAGTCCCGCTGTGGCCACTGGTTCCCCGGTCCCGTATCGGCTGCCCTGACATGGTACTGTATCCCGTCCGGTTCAGGTACGGAGCGTCATCGGCAAGACAACTTCGACAGGGCTTTTGAGGATTCTTAGGTGTTGGAGACATGCAAAATGATTACGGCTGAAGCTGAGATTCAGGAACTTGACTCGAGGACATTTGACAACTGCATTGTTCAATTCAATTGACAATGTTCTGGAAGTGAGGAAAGAACGGCGGTCAACTCCACTGGAAGCAAGTCACCGGGTGGGTCGCGGATAACGGCAAGTGGACCTGGGTGTGGCTGCAAACGAATTGGGAAACTGCAGATCTTTGGATTTGGAACAATTCGCACTTCCCCAACTTTTTTCTGGAAAACCTTAACATCGCTCTGCATGATCCTGAAGAATGAAATGTTAAGAAGGTGAGCGGTCACATGATCTCGCTTTCACATCGTGTTGAATCACCACCTTGGTCGGTTCTGCCCTATTCCGCGCGTCTCAAGACTTCCACTTAACGCCCGGCCCAGGCGAGCTAGTATCGGCCATGCCATTGCTGGATCACATTTCCGGCGAGGGCATCAACCAGCTTAACACGGATGTGGATTTTCTCATCCACATTTTTGAGCATCGCCATCCACGACTTCTCTCCTAATTTCATCATCTTCTTCGACGGGCAACCGGGCTCCATGATTGATTGAGATCCAGATTTCCACTTGTCTGATCGAGTTGGTCCGGTTGTAGGTAGGTAGTCTTTGCCTCCGGCCATGTCCTTCTTCCCCATCTTTGCGAGATTCAATCAGTTAGGCGGGTAGGAATGTCTCCTGCCCGTCTACAGTTGCTCATTTTGGGTCAATGAGAGGAAAGACTTCTCCCAAAGACCACGTCGACATCAACCTCCGCAGGTAGGCACAACGTGCCCCTTATCTTGCCTGTGTGTCATGACCGAACCCTCAGACAGGTATAAGAGTCCGGCCATCCCCCACTGTTTCGAGCATCTGAAAAGTTCCACCATCCAATATATTGTTTCATATCTATCTATCACACATCATCATCTCATGTTTTGACATCTCCTGATATATCATCAACCCTTCCATGGCTCGAGTTCTCTAAACTCTCAACTAGCCGATCAGCGTTGTTCTTCACTTGATTATACCATCCAATCCATCACCATGGGCCTCATTTGCATTCTCGCTTTTTCTTTTCACCACCGACATGCGAACCTTCGACGTGGACATCTACCTGGATGGTCTTGTGACGATCCTGCGGTACACGGTACCGCTTGGGCTGACTGAAAGCAAGTTGCCTGTTGCTCTCCAAGGTTCGTGCTGGAGTGGTCGTGGTCCGTTTTGCCCAATGAGAACAAACATGCACTAACTAACGGCGGCATCAGGAGCAAGCCTCTATCCCCGATTTCTTTAGGAAATCATCGTCTCGACTGGAACGTGGATACGGGGGACGCCATGACTGGAATCTGCTCCTGGTGCCCCACAATCCGAGTCTACCACTCCATGATCCAGCTCATGTGGCTCAAATTCATGGAGTGGGCCGACAAGTATGGACAAGGAGAACTTTATCGAACCGTCATTCTTGGCTTTTCTCGGCGGCTTTGGAAGAGCTGATGGCTTTGCGGAGGAGGTCAAGGACACAATTGGAACATCAGAATGGGAGTTTGACATCTCAGGCAGAGAGAAACATGTAAAGACAAGAGGAGGAGGAAGTGAAAGAGCTAGAAGGACAAGTAACGAGACGCATTGTGCATGATTTGAATAGGGTGGTTGAGGTTCTGACGAGGGTCCAGCAAGATGGCGATACTACTGCGTTAGCGAGCAGGGCCGCTGATGAAAGAAGGTCGGGGTTGGAGAGGGTGACAGAGAGGGGAGAGCATCCGGCAAGTTCTTTCTTTTGCCCCACTGTCAACCCTTTTACTGTGTGAGATGTCCCGCTTCCGACCTTGGTTGCTTATCGTTTCTCCTTCTTCCAGGTCATCCGCTTCAAATCCGTCTTCGATCTGAGAAACTACGAAAGTTTCTTTGTGCAAGAGTGATGGACTCGACAACATGGACAACATGTCCCCCATTAGGGTCATCGCCAACGAGACAACCCCAGAGGAGGGAGTTGGCGACTTTGCGGCATTTCAGGCCCTGAGCGCCACGAACATCCGGTGCACTACAAGCACCCCGACGACTGGACCAGAGACCAGTCCTACACCCAGTCCGAACTCCTCCAAATACCCACACAAAGTCGGCCACCGGGGCTACGTTTGCCTTCCCGCAAATGTAGCCTTGAAAGTCTGTCAAAATATTGTCCAGTATCACCGCACGGGCACCTATCCGCCTCAGCATACCGTCTGTCTACAATGGCCTCCAGCGCGGTTAATTGCAAGACTTTCTTCTTGCTCAAGTCAGATCATGAAGCTTCATTTCCCTTCGACGTTTAAAGTTAAGCATCTCATGAAGCATGCCATCAAGCAGTACAACAGCGGTGTGTTGACCCCCAACGATCCGGGTGCGGCCGAAATCCTCCAGGGGGGGCAACTGCTTCAACAACTCGAAAGAGCTACCATTATCGCGGCTACATTCCCGCCCGTATCCTGCGCTCTTTGCTCGAGCGTCCCGGCTCCGCACAACATTCTCAACTCCAAACCATCAGTCTTTCCCTTGACGAGTTCATCCGTCGTCATCCCTCGCGCCGCTCGGGATAATAATCCTCACTGAGACGGGCTCGGACCTGGGATCTAGCTGAGGGACAAAGACAACGGAGAATCGCCGTGACTGGTGTTGTCATCCTTGTTGCGCTTGAGCCGTATGCGAAGGGAGAAACGCGAGGTGCTCGATGGCCCGCATCAAGGAAGAACAGGGCATCAAGAACTGCCCAACTTGCACGACGATCCTCGTCAAAGATGAAGGGTGCAACCACGTCACTTGTGCTATGTGCGATACCCACATGTGCTGGAAGTGCTTGGAGGTATCCACAGGTATCAATGCCATGGATCGCGTGTATAGGCATTTGAATGCGGAACATGGCGGGATCGATGACTATCCCCCCGGGGCCTCCACCACTTCAGTGGCTCTATCGAGGATCCTGACCTCCAGCTCGCCGGTTTCTTTTACCCTGGCATGAAACTCTGCCTCGGGACTGCCGGGAGGCTTGTTCAGCCAGACAGGCCATTTGGCATCCGGTACCCGCACATGTTACGCCGTCTCTTGCTCCGGTCCTGCTATTCCTTCTTCCAACACCATTATTTCTCCCATCCCTAATTTCTTCGCTGCCCCTCAATGGGAATTCAGACAGGGGGGGCTCTGCCCGCTGACAAGAAAAAGGAAACATTACTGTCAAACTTGGACGACTGGGCCTGACCTTTCGTGCCAATCACCGAGGACTTCTAGAAAGCAGGGAATTGCGCTCCGAGATTAACCCCAATCAAGACGCTGGGACTCTTTATGGATTCCTGAGCAAGATATGTCTTTGCGACCTCAAAGATCGAGATGGCTTCAGCGGCGTTTCTCCCGGTTTGACCGGTAATGCCGTCCCTTCTGCCATCTCCGTTGGTTAGCATCGACCGTTTGAGGGGGCTTGGATTATGTAACCGGGAGCTCCAAGAGGAAGAATACCGGGGCGGGTTTCGTGCCTCATACGCTCATCTGCAAAGATTTGGCATCCTGGTCCACACAAGGGAAACAACGTCGACATGGCCGACTCCCGGAAGTGTCGGCGGGGAATCAATTACGAGAGACTTTGGAAATGGCTATTATATGGGGCGAACTTCTTGCGTCAACGCGCTTCACACTGCCGGTATATCGATGATATTTCACTGAGAGTGCTGGAGAAATCCACACACCAATACTTCCCCCGAGTACATTCATGTTCGAGCCCAAACTCGAGCTCTTCAACTGTCGACGGTGGCTCCAGCCCTCCCACTGCCAACGTTAACTTCAGTCCACCGTCGGATGGGGAGATCAAGGACAATTATCAAGGTAGAAATTGTCGATCCAACGCACCGTCTCGGAGTAACAGCCTGGTGGAATGGGCACGAGAGCAGGCGAAGGCCGGTGATCTTTGATCAGCTCTTCGCTCACCCCTATGGCCATCCCCATTTATTGGGGACGTCAAGTCCTCGGAGACTCGTTCTCCACGTTGACTATTGCCTTCATAAAAGTTATTTTGTCCGTCTTTGTCCTCGGCAATATTCTTGCTGCGGCGATGTCGTCTCGCAGTTTCATCCCTGTCGTCGTTGCCGGAAGGCCTCAGCGCAGTAGTCTGATCAAAATCATGTTGTCTGTCTTCGTCATGAAACGACATTAACACGCTAAATGGATGCTTCATTCGCATTGAATATACAACGAGCGAGTGCCCAAAGTGGAAGGGTCTCTCTCTTGTTATCATAAAAAGGTGCCCAGACACAACTTGCCCATTGCTGTCCCCTAGAGGTAATGCTAGCGATCCCTTGCACAGTGATTGATGCCCTGTAATGCTTGTCCTTTCCCCCCAAAGTGATGCTGATAGATGAGCCTAAACTGTGCAGCCCCAGGGCAGTGGAGCACGGCCCATACCCACGTAGATAGTGGAGAGATAAAGGACGTGATGCGCTGACTAATATGGGCAGGGTGCTGCATGAATGCTGTCAGCTGCAACGGCGGGCTGCCTTGAAGCCACCAAGTGACAAGACTGGCGACATGCTGTAAAAGGCGAAACTTTCAAAGTTCACCCAAACCTCAAATCACTGGTTCAACAACACCACACGTCATATCAACACCGGCACCGAGGATTTCAAAAGATGGAGCCGCCATATAAAGAACGCTATGAGGCACTCTTGGACTGGGCTCATAATCACGGAGCAAGTTTGCACCCTTCGGTAGAGATCTACCAGGACGAAAAGACGGGGTTTTCTCTTCGCGTCAAGCCATCGGCTGCCGAATCGCTACACTCACCTTTCAAGGCCGTCACCTGCCCGACCTCCATCACACTTTCTTACCTCAACGCCCTCACTGACGGACCCATTACGCCGTATTTAACGCCACCAGCTCTCGACACTCAAAAACACGCATTTCCAGAGCGTTTCATGAACTCCCTCCCGCCACATGTCATCGGTCGCTTCTATCTGATCCAGCAGTACCTCAAGGGCAAATCCTCCCTTTGGGCACCCTACATCTCCACTTTGACCGACCCCAGTCAGCTCGACAAGTGGGCACTGCCTCCCTTCTGGACCGAGCATGACATCGAGCTGCTTAGGGGCACCAACGCCTACGTCGCCATCCAGGAGATCCAGGATAACGTCAAGTCCGAGTACAAACAGGCCCGCAAGATCCTCAAGCAGGAAGGATCCCCCGACTACCGCGCCTACACTCAGGTCCTCTACAACTGGGCCTACTGCATGTTCACCAGCCGCAGTTTCAGGCCTTCATTGATCCTCTCCGAGTCCGCGAGGGAGTACGTCGAACGGCTGCTGCCGGAGGGAGCAAAGATCGACGACTTCTCCATCCTGCAACCGCTGTATGATATTGGGAATCACTCCCCCGAGGCCGAGTATTCATGGAATCTCACTTCGGAGCCGAGCGCGTGCGAGCTGATCTGCCGGAATAGCTATGAGCCGGGTCAGCAGGTTTTCAACAACTACGGGAAGAAAACGAACAGCGAGTTGTTGCTGGGCTATGGCTTCGTCACCGAGAACAATGATTACATCCATGTGCGGAAGAGACAACAACAACAACAACAACAACAACAACAACAGGGCGATACTACTCAGGACAAGGGCGGCAAGCCACAGGACTTCTTGATCGCTCGCGACTCCTACTGGAAGCCCGACAGCTGTTCTTTCAAGAGTCGCATGGGAGACTTTACTCCCAACTTGCTACATTACCAGTTCGAAAACTGGGATGGCAGGCTCCTCAATGATATGGTGTCCATGATGGCTAACCCAAAGCAGTGGGAGTTGTTCCAGGCGTTGCCGACAGACCGCACCCTCCATGGCAGCAATGGCTCTCTTGAGGAGGAGCTGGACCCGTTGGTGGATATGCTAAAGGCTACGTTGGCGCAGAAAATCGAGAGGGACTTTGTCGAGTTCTCGTGCGGAGAGCCAAATGGGGGACAGGAATGGGAACCGGAAACAGAGCGACAGGACTTGGTCAAGAGGTACAGAAGTGGCTATGAGAAGGTGTTTGTGAACGTGCTGAGGGCATTTGGTTATACCGATGATGAGATAGAGGAGCTCAAGGCGGCAGCGCTGGAGGCGGAGGGAGACGAAGACGAGGATGAGGAGATGGAGGATGGGAACTGAGGTCGGTCACCCGCGATGTTAGAGTCCTTTACAACAGGCCACCAACCCAATCTCGCAAACAGAGAAGCACAACCACATCTGCACCGTGCTGCCCAACCGATACCTCGGATCGCCCTAGATCGCCATCGACCTGGCCACGCGTCATTCTCCCCCGCCTACCTACTCATCCGGATACCACGTCTTAACCGCATAAACAAACAAATGCTCCTCCTCCCACGCCTTTTCCGCATCCTCAGGCTTCAAGATCCCCGCCTCTACCGCCTTCGGCTTAAATTTCCTCGTCACCTCCCACTCGACTTCAAACCCTACCTCCCTAACCGCTTTCAACACCTTGTCCCGACTTAAACTCGACACAGTCACCGGCTTTCCCATCCACTCGATCACCTCCCCCTCGACATCCATCGGCACCGTCCCGAACACAAACAGCCCGCCCTCTCTCAACCACCAACACGCCTTCTTGATCACTTCCCGAATCTCCTTCTGCGTCTCAAACCCGGCCAGCAAGGAGAAATATGCCGTCACCGCGTGATACCCGGCCGGATCTCCCTCCTCCCAGCTCTCGCGCTTAGCCCTTAGCGCCTTCTCCTGCGCTTGAAAGAAGGGATCATCCCTCTCCGGCTCGAACTTACGCACATCCGCCTCCACGAACTCGCCTTCCATCGGGATACAATGAAGTGACGTTTTTCTTTGCAAACTCGACCATCGCCGGGCATAGGTCAATTCCCAGGACGGAATGGCCTGCTTCGGCGAGAGCAGAGCAGATGGGGCGGCCGGTGCCGCTGCCTATGTCGAGAATGTGTTTCCGCTGGAGGCGGGGAGGTAAAGCGTTATGGATCCAAGGGCGGGGGTGTGGCGGGAAGGTGTCGCGGTCGTCGAGCTTGGCGAGAAGCCAGTCAAGGGAGTTGTCGCGGGTGGGGAGGTCGGTGAAGGCTGTTTCGTAGGAGGGGCAGAGGGTTGTGAAGAGGGTGTTGTTGGAGAGTGGGGCGGTGGGTTGTTGATCTTGGGCTGGTGGTGTTGAAGGTGGTTGCTTGATGGTGGAAGACATGTTGGGTTGTTGCTGCTTGGGTGATGATATTTGTCAGGAGAGAGGAGTTTGCGACGTGAAGAGGATGATTTGCTGGGACCGGCGATGAGCATTGGTTCTGTTCCATTCTTATACGTTTACATCACTTATCGCTTCAGCTGAGAGCGGGGAACAAACGTCTACGATAACTGGTCGACAGCACAGCAGCAGTGCGACCACACCTTGGATACAACCCGCATGAAGGTACCTAACCTAGCTTGGAGGATCAACGCTGTGAGTCGCACAACAGTCTTCTTTTTGGACATCGAGACTAATCTGTTTATTACCTACCTCTAGGTATGATAGAGGTATTCTGCCTAGCTTCCTAGATAGAAACACCAAGACAGCCTCTTATCCTGCCCGACCCTCATCTCATGACACTCTCCCCGCTTCGCTTCGCTTTAGCAAGAAAACGGCCCCGACGAAATCGGGAAGCTCTGCGCCTGATACTCCCCGCCCTTATCACCCAGACACTCCGCCACGGTGACCAGCTTGAGGTTATTCTGCTTGGCCCAGTTGATCAGCCACGGCGTGAGGGTGTTGACGGTAGTCGCATACGTCTCGTGCATGAGAGGGATGTGACCGTTGCCGCCGGCGCCTGCCTGCGTGAACTTGGCCTGCGACTGCGCAGGCGTCTGGTTGTTCCAGTCGCCCGTGTCGATGTCGTCCGTGATCACCTTGTAGTTCATGGACTTGAGCACCGGCAGGATCTGCCCGCCCGTCTCGAGGTAGGGGGGACGCATGTACAATGGCTTCTTGCCGATTAGGTTGGCGAAGGCGGTTTCGACTTTGGTCATTTCCGTGGTGATTTGCGCGGCGGAGTAGGAGGACATGTGGGAGTGGGTCCTGGGTACTTGTTAGCTCTTCTGTAGTGTTTGGGAGTGGGTTGAGGGAGGTGAGGATTGGGAATATCAATGTTTGGGCTTGAACATGGCTGTCACAACTCCATGCCGGGGGCAAGGGTAGGGGGCAAGGGTAAGGGGCTCGGTAAACCCCCACCACCACTACCACCACAACCACAACAGAACATACCAAGTGTGCGAGGCAAGCTGATGTCCACTAGCAAACGCCTTCTTCACAGCCGCAGCCTGGTTGTAGATGCATCCGTACAGGGTGCCGGTCCAGAAGAAGGTGGCCTTGGCACCGGCCTTATCCAGGATGTCGACCAGCTGGGAGGTGTACTGGTACGGGCCATCATCATAAGCCAGAGCGAGCATGCCGGGCTGGGCGCATTTGGTGATGACGACGCCCGGGTTGGGGGCGCGGGTCATGAGCTGGATGGGGTTGGGTGCCGGGGCGGCAAGCGCTGAGGTAGCCAGAAGGGCCGCGGTGATGAAAGTTTCGGCGAGCATTGTGTTGTGAGGATGTGTGTTCCGTGCCGGATGGGAAGAGAAGAAAGCAGAGGATGGAGAACAACAGAAAGAAATACAGAGATCAGAAGCAGGAAGAAAGTGACCTTCTTGTACTCGAACTCAGTCGAGTCAACTCCAGACAAGATCGACGTCCAAGGTGTTTACCCGGCTTGAGCCTCCAACCACCTACCGACCCATATTGCTTTTTTCCCAGTTCCCCAGTTCTTGGCACCTTCTAATTCCGTTCTAATCTTCCGAATGAAACACAAATCCTGGCACTGGCCAGCATCCATCTCAGAGAGGAACCTCATCAGATCATGGAAAAGCACACTAGGAGATCCCGATGCATATTCGCATGAGCCAATATCAGATAGACGAGCGCCAAGGCGGAGCCCAGTCTACCCCGGAGGGTGACATCGTTAGCAACACAACCCCGGATTTCCGTTGCATTTCGGAGGGGTTGCAGTACCGATATAGCCGGGATGAGAATTGCCGGTATTTTAGTGTGGCCAGGGGGGAATTAGACCACCGGGGACCAACATTTAGCCGCTTTGATGCGACTGGACATCAATCAATAGCTTCTGGAAGATCTGGATCTTTTCGAGAGGTCAGAGGACTCAAGGTGACGTTCGCATGGACGGAAGGAAGATTTGGTGGCGGTGTGTCAATTGGGGGAAGACAATGGGCATGACGTGGACGGAGTGGAGTTCACAGTAGTGGGCATGGAAGGAACAATGGAAAGAAAAATGGAATGGTGGGAAGCGTGTACTTTGTTTCATGCTTCACTAACGAACAGGTCAATCGGAGGTCTTCAAGCACATCCTTTGAGGGCTTGTCTTTTCCCAGGAAAGGATTGGAAATCTGAAAACACTGTACTCGGCATTCTACTGTGCAACCTACTCGACTCCATGATCCGGCTTCAAAACTTGGATTCGTCTTTGTCCAAAACACCTATCGCTCAATGTTATACCGGCTCGGTGATGCTTCCCGCTCGGGAGTTGACCTCAATTTACTGCTTTGTACACCATCAGTAACCTATTGGTACGAGTTCTAGCATCTTTAAGCAAGACTAGGAAAAGGAGTCGCTTACCTTCCAGTAGGCCAATCTGTGCCCGGTACTCGACCGGGCATGAAGTAACCGTAGCGAGCTCAATCGACTGAACGTCGCCCAGGCTTCATGTTCCGCGCATGCTGTGTTTAAGTCCATTTCCTGTTAAATGCATTAATTCTTGTCTCATAATATGATCACGTTCCCGCTTCGATGATCTTCCACAACTTCTGCTGCCTGACACGCTCGGAGCGTCTCGGCTCTGTAGGCTCTTCCTCGTCATAGACAGACAGCTTGGCTGGAAGAGAACCAATCGGGCAGTCTACAACCTACCAAATACCTCGTTCGGGGAAGAAGCGAGGAAGCGCCTACCTTGGACCTGCGTACGTAGTTCGTTCAAGTACAACAACCGATGGTGGTGCTCATAGCGCAGGGGGAACGTGACCAGCGATGTGCAGTACCATCCTCTCTTGATCTCTGTCTCTTTCTTGAGTTGTCAGCGACCGGCTTCTCCGCCCTCGATAGCCTTTTGGATCTCCCTGGAGGCCATCTCACGGTGTCTCTTGATGGATGCTGGACAATGGCCAATGGTTAGTAACTGGATCAGACAGGAGAGAGCTCTTTGGCTGGGTCAACATACCGCGATTCCTAATGTCCTCGAGGTTGTCAACGCGGTATTGATGTCTCGACCGCTCCAGCTCTGTCCTGGCTGTTTTCGCTTTCTTCTTGATGCTCCTTTGAGCGCGCATGGTCACGTTTGGTGCCATGGCTTAGTCGATAGAAGGGTAGACTGAGGGTGTCACTTCAGGTTGTTGTGTCTTGTCGACGCCGTTTATATTTACAACGCTTTGCAATGGTCGGGTCCTAGTGTCCTCGTTTCAAGGTTTGCTAGAGAAATTTAAGGGCCCAGAAGTGACTGGACTGGGTGCCTAGGAAAGGTTCACGACCCATATGGTCACATATTGAACCTTCATGCCGGGTTTGGTGGCGGCAAACTTGAACCTGAAGCCGCCATTCACTTCCCGGTGATGAAACGTTCGGACACATGGTCGCTTACTGTTCCCCTCTGTCAGCGTAGTCAAGGCTGCCAAGGTCATGATATCAACTATGAACCGATGTTTCTTGTCGCTAGAATGAACCGCCCTACCAGAGAGCTTATAGTAGTTGATGACCGAGTCCCAACCCCTTCCTACCCCTAAGTTTCACTCCTACTCCCGTCAGCGAAGCCGCTATCGCCTTCGCCCTCACTAGCCCTTCGACCGAACACAACCCAGGTTGCTATGAGTGACGCCATTCTTGGAGCTTCAGGCTGGAGCGACTAGCGCTCAAGCAAGCAAAGCAGGTTTAAGTTGCGTACCTTTTCTGTAGAAGATGAAGGTCAGCTCAGGAAGCTTGAAGGAAAACTGTGGATAAAGTGAAGTATGCTATGGAGGGGAACGTACCGTCGACTTGCTGGATGATTTCATAGCTCAAAATAATCTTCCTGACGACATCCTCGTTTTCGAACGTCGCGGGAGGACTGTCCTCGTGTTCAGTCCAGATGCTTATAGCCTCGTTTTTAAGCTCCTGCAGGTTGCTGAGGCTTTGGGCTTCGCTAACGAGCTCGCAAGCCGCCTCGTGGACACAAGCAAGTTAACCTTAAAGTGACACCTGGACGTCAGTGAGCTTGAACGATGAAATAGCAAACCTGAATTTGAAGAACAGAGGTAACTTACCAGCTGTAAGGGTTTTCGCACACTGGAGGGGCAGAAGACTGCGCGGTCGCCAGAGCGCGGTAGGCACCTCGTTGTTCTGAACTCGAGGACGAACGGGCGCCGCAATGTTGAGAGACGTGGTATCGTCTACCGGTATTTGCTGTTTGTCTACAGGCAAAGCTGCCATGGACAGGAGGATCGCGCTTGCCTCTTGCGCCTCCCGGGTCTCCATGTCAGTCATCTTCTACTCTTTCTTACTAGATTGTTGGTGAGTCAATATTTGATGGTGATGATGTGATTGTTGATGAGAAAGAGCGATCAAAGTTTGTGTGACCTTGGAGCGCAAGGGAGGAAAGTACGAGCGGCAAGTCAAGAAAAAGGGGGTGCCGGAAGGGTTCGACTGGCACTTGCTGTGGTGGGAAGACTGGACGTATTGGGACTTGAACGCACGTGCCGAAGATGAAGGAACGAATTCGAAGAGAAGAGGGGGAGTGCGCTAGCAATATTACGGTATATATGAGGTAGAGCATGGTATCAAGCCACGCCTGGACTTTTCATGACGCTAAAGTGTCGGGTTTTTTGTTCCATTCTATCTTCCAAGCTAGTCTAACTTCTGCTTTTGAGAAGAAGGACGACCGAAGAATCTCCTAGTGGTCTAGCTACGAGTCGAGTATGAGGATAGGTAATAGGACCAATATTCTTCATCCTTGGTCTCCCGAGCATTCTTTCAAGAACAAGCTTTGGATAGCAACAGATGCTGGGTCTTGCCCAACGCATCTTGTGTCTAGGTAGGTAAGCAGTACTCGCAATAGTTAGCACCAAACGTAACGAAGATTAGCTAGAAAGATGAACTTACAAGACGTCCTCAGGTATTGGTCTTGGACCGCACATTAGCGTCCAAGCCCCAGCCTGTCGTGTTTCTTGGGACTAGATCAGGCATGGACTTCGGGCTCGACACTCTTTAATATCTGGAATGAAAATGATGATGGCTCTTTAGCAACCCGCGGTGAAGCGAATTACCTTAGTGATGCTTGGCATGCCCGTGAACATCAGCTTCCGCTTAGGCACAAGGACTGTACATGCAACTATGGTCAGCTTTCTGGTTCAATCAATGAAGTATTGGAACCGTGCTATTGGATTACATACCGCTCAGCTCCTTCTTCATCATTGTGAAAGCCGCGATCTCCATTTTAAGGCGGCTTTTCGACATCATCTTCGGCTTCTCCGGGTCCTGAAGGTCTTGCAGGACGCGATCAACGCCTTGCTTCAAGTTGTACAGACCGGCGATAGGCTGGTCTATCTTGGCCTTCTCGATGACCTTGAGGGCGGCTTTACGGAGTTCACGCCTCTGAGCAATGGCCCTCTTGGATGCCTTCTTCGAAACCCTGGGGTTGGGCTGCGTGGGGGTATTGGACTGCGCAGACGCGGCTAAAGGGGAGAACGTTAGTTAGTCGTCTCTTCTGACTAGCTACCGACCGAATGCTTTGTTGTGAATAATCCTTACCGCTGTGAACTGCGGGCTCAATCTCCATGCTTTCGCCAGGGGCAGAGCCATGGTCGCTCTGAACCTCAGGATGAGTCGCAGTCACCACACTGGCAGAAGCATCCGGCTCAGCAACTGCCTCCTGGTGGGCCACGGCCCAGAGCGACGCAAGAACGTCGATTGCGTCCGACTCTAGGCGCTCAAGGCGCTCAGCCTCAGCACTGGCCTGCATGGTTGTGATTCAGTTCCAGGCTACGTGTACGCAAATCGTCCTTGTTGTGCAGGTTGTGATGGGTTTTTGGGGGCTTCCAAATTGTCCTGGTGAAGACAACCAGATTGTTGGTTGAAAGGAAGAGAAAACTTTGGACAGAGGGAAGGGCAGGGCGCCGTTTTAAGGCACAGAAAAACCCAGGTTTACCGTCAGGTCCCCGTGGAGTGAAGCTGGTGACGCAGATTAAACCGTGAATGACCATGAGAAAGGTTTACTCGTTTGGTGGCTAAGGTTTGGAGGAGTTCGAACCTGAAGGTATTCACATGGTGAAGTGAGTCCCATGGTTGGAAATAACGAAAGGAGGAGGCCAATAGCCTGTAAAGGTGAGAATACTGAAAGTAGAGGAATCCCACAATGTCCTGCTCGTCGAATGTCAACCGGTCGAAGCGAAAAGGTCTGGCTACTGTTTATATAGCTTTTCTTATACCCCTTTCTTCGTGTCTTTTCTCCCCTGTGCTGCTACATGACGAGGTCACGAGTCACGACCGCCAACCAGGCCGGTCTGAACGCTCGAAAGTTCATTCCGGCAAGCGACGAGAACAAGAACAGAGACACGATCAAGGTGAGAATGAGCCATCCTGGATTGTACTAGGTTGCGAAATGGAAAATATAAAAAGGCCTCCTTTTGATTCAATGAAAGGACCGATTTCAGCCACGATGGGAACTTGCCTCACCAGTGCTGTCCCGCGGGCATCCACTCGGACACTCCTCGATGGTCGCACCACGGCTGGCCCCTTAAACATTATGTCATGCTCAAGAAGAAGGAGATTGACCGATAGTTGTGATCTAGCAGGAACAAAATTTTGAGGTTAGGGGAACGTGAATAAACGGACCCAACCTTTCGCGGTTCATCTCTCCGAATGCCTTCGTTTCTTCCCGTCATTGTTGTTGACATCCGGGAACCCCCTGCGTTGTGCATGCCCACCCAAATGCTGAACGCTATAACATTTGGGTTACAGTGGACATAAACGCTGTAGGAACGTCAAAAAACGCTGGTGGAAGGTACGAGGTGGAGACCTTGAAAGTGCGAGTGGAGTCCACACCTGACAAACTGACGAATCAGGGCATGAGATGAGGGCGTCCAAGCACAGAACACGGGACAGGCACTGAGGGAGACACGCTGTGATACAGTGGACAACCCCCTGTAGCTGATACCGGCCAGGGGCAATCACTTGACATCAGAAACGGAAGCGACAGCGGCATGGAAACATGAAAGACGGATATCAGAATTTCAGGACACTTGTTCCAGGAAAGCACACAAAAGCAGAAGAAAAAGACTGAGGACAAAAGAAGAGAGGAGAGGATTGAGGAGCAAAAAGAGAGAGGCCCAAGCAAGGAAAACTACCCCTGGCAGAAAGAAGAAAACTGAAATGACCTCCTAGAGGTACCACGACCTCAGTTGGGCTGAACACCCTCCTCCTCCAACTGTTGCTGATGCTCTAACCCAATACGTTAGTTAGCTTATGTACAAGTAAAGTAGGTACAACGACGATCAACAATCGCGGCCGCAGACAGGACCAAGGTGAAGGAAGTGACAACATACCCTTCAAAACAGCCATCATCTCATTCAGCAGCCCAACGGTGACTTCGAGCTGCTTATCCTGGAAACGAGTCCAACCCCAGAGGTAGTTGAAGTTGGAGACCAGCTTGGTGAGTGCCATCTCAATTGACGACGGGAAGGTGCCGTTCTCCAAGGCATCCTGGATGACGAAGCGCGCCTTGCGCGCGATCTTGGGACCGTCGGGGATGACGGTGCCGTTTTCCGTGATTTGGCGCGCTACATGTACGAGAAAGTGAAGGGGCAAAAGGTTAGTGGGAGGGACATGAAGTCGCAAGATGGTAGGACAAGCAAGTGTATGGGGCGAGGTGGCTTTTAGGTACGAAGTTGAGTGCGTCATGATATGACATACTGATCCGGTTGATCGGAATGATCCTGAATGCCATCGGCAGCAGGGTGTGGCGAGGCGCGGGAGCACGTCCTATGAGTAAGTAGCAGACAAAGGTTAGCGACCGCTCATTGCGTGGTGTTCTTGAGCGCAATGGGAGCTCAGGAAGACTTACTCGGTCCGGGGCGAAAGAGTGCACTTCTGGGTCCGGCCTCACGAGGGGTAGACATTTTGAAAGGAGTATGGCGGGCGGCGTGTTATTTGTGATGATGTGTGATTGTGAGTGAATGTCAAAAAGTCAACGAAGAACAAAGAGTGAATAAATACTGGAATCCAGAGGTGCTTTTTTGTGGGATGAGAAGGTCGGCTAGCGAAAGCTTGCGGTTTACTGGCAATCTTCACTGGTCTCCAGTTATGCCCTGGAAATGCATCGAAAGGTGATTCCTAGGCAGCCAATGTAGGGTATACTGACATTCCATCCCATCTCGAGCGTACCGAGCACGTCGCTGTCGCGCTGATGGATTTGACATCGCCCTGTCCATCAATAAGACTGAAGGATTCAGCCAGAGTCTCGCTCGTCTCGGCAGCCCAAGCCTGGAGTATAAGTCTTGATCCCTTTACCCGCGAACCAGTGAGCTTGTACGAATAGTGTCAAGAGGCCACAACCAGTCTTCGAAAAGAACGCGGAATGAGTTGCGAAAAGGCTGGGAAGAGACAAGCAAGAGAAAGAAAAGGGCAAAGGAGGAAGAGGGAACAACCGTACAAAATGACGAAACGAGAGACCTACATTAGCCTTCAACTGAGGACAATGCATACCCATGATCCTCTTCTCTACGCAACATGATTGGCATCAGCCGATGACACTCCATAGTTGGCCCCTGACCCATACTCATAATGCATAAGACTCACCATCCCGGACAGTAAGCTCACTCTCAATTCCAGATTCTCATCCTTCATATCAGTAACAGTCCACACGGAACGATGAAGACTATGAAGCTTTGTTATAGCCTTCACGATTTCATCTCTATCTTGGCTGGTCGGATGGAGTCTTAAAACTCGTTCAATCTCAGTGCTTGCTCTGTCCTTCATTTGTTCTACAGTGGGGTAGATGTTGTAGTTTGACGTCAATTCCCGGACTGTTGAAACGTTGAAATGTGGTCTGAAGTCAGTAGTGGTACACTATAGGTTGATATAGCTGGAAGTTGGGCAACTGGCCTGGATGCAGTATGCGGCGAAGAAGCGAGATGCTGAAGATTTAAACCTACTCATTATATCGATGTCAATCTGTCCGAATGCAGTTTGAAGATTGGAGAAGCTGGACGTATGATCTGTGGTAGTTGAAACTAGACCAATATCAGCATCCAACAACCGGACAGTTTAAGCGGTAAGTGATACAAATATAGATGGAAGCTTCGGGGAGATGAAGGCACTGACTGGAATCCTGGATTGAGGACGCTAGTTGGGGCTGCTGGGACTGGACGCTTCTTTATTTGCTTCTAATCGCCAAGCTCTTCATTACGTTCTTGTCGGTATGTCTTGTTCAAACCAATATGCCAATGATGGACACCAATCGTGTAATGGGGTAGAAAGGAAGTCCACTTCGTCAAGAGACAGGTAATATCTTCTTATGACTACAAAGTTGAAACTTGGTCTTGGAATACCGCTCTAGTAATGAATGGAAAGATGAGTCGTTATGCCAGTCTTATGAGTACTTTAAGGACGCGTGACAGGCGAGAGTCAGCTACTGATGCATACCTTTCGTACACCCGACAGCTTATGCTATACCTTGTAAGACACTTGTCTGCCAAGCAACCACAGGCAGCTTGAAGATAAGTTAAGGCAAGCTGGACAAGTGACTGACAAAGAGGCAAATGGAACATATAAGCAAAGAATGCGAAGGGTGAGGAAAGTATTCAATCCTAGAAACATCAACAACCCCACAGGTTGGAGAGCAAGCATGTTTGAACCACTTGGATACATCTAACGCAATGTTCACAGTGACAGCAGCAAAGTTTTCCAGCAAATGAAAGTGAGATAAAACTAAACCAAGGTTATGTTAAGGAAGACCGGTTTAGCAAAGAGACAAAGGTAGGTAGGTAGTATACTTCCCTACGGATTCAGTTGTTGGCTTTGGGGCTTTGCCGATCTAGTTCGAGTCGTCCTCGCCGTCACGCTCCTTGTTGTTTTCACCGCTCTCCTTGGTGGAATCTGTGGCAACACTGGGTGCTGGAGAAGGAGCTTCGGATACCGTCTGTAATTTTTCCTCCTGGTGATTCTTGTTGAGATCACGGTTTGAGCCACGAGAACTTCTAGGGAGATTTGACCCGAAGTTCGAACGAATCAACCCTAATCGGCCTGGAACAGGAACGAACACATGGTCTTCCTCCCCATCGGGGTTTGTGCGCTTTCGTAGGTCTTCATACATCAGGCCTTGTACCTCATCTATGAAGAGGGTTAGCGGGTTATCACCAATCCAAGAGAATCTTGGGATAATAATCCACACAGTCCGAATGGAGTCAAAGAACGTACCTTCCGCCAAGTAAATAATAATGTCAAGGATATTTATCTTGGCGTCCCAGTCTAGACCCCGCATGCCCAATTTCCGCATTTCAAGCACGTAAGAAAGGTGAGCGCGGGCGCTTTTTACAATAGCCCGCATTGTGGGGGTTGGGGAGATGGTGGTCATCCTTTGAGCTTGACTGATGGCGCTGCGGGCGGCAGCGGCAATGTCGCTCTTGTCAGGCTTTTTTTGACCGTCTTCCGTCATCTCATTAACTAGTAGTAAAGTGATGTTTAGCATACATAATCAAGAGGCAAGGAAGTCAAAAGCCAGCCGCAGAATTTATCCAGGCTAGCTGGCGAGGTAGTGCTGAAGGAAAGGAATCGCCTACCCAATTCGTCAATGTGTTCACCAAATTGGCTTTCCATCTCGGTGCTCGCCTTCGATGACTCTTTTAACTCCTCCGAGTCCTCCGACTGCCTTGACTTCCTTTTATCCTCGGAGATGGTGCCCGGCTGCCTGCCCTGAGATGTCAACTTCCCAGCAACAGAGTTCGAAGTTCTTCTGGGAGGAGATCGGTCGAACAGAGTTGGACTGAGTGCGCGCTCTAACTGATGCACTGGAAGGTTGGATGATTGAGTCTCATGCCATTTGTTGATGTCCTGTTTATGACGCATGTTGATGTTCGAAATGATATGTCCTTCTCGCTGTGATGCGCTGTTCTGGTCCCTTCTTTTCCCGTTTTGCCATATGGCGATGGCTATGGATGATGAATGAACATCAGTTATGTAGACATCGTCCTTTGGATTACTAACTAACCGGCGATGAGGCAAGGAGTGATTGCCTCATCAACTGGTAGTGACGTGGATTATTGAGTGAGTAAAGAAGAATACCCTTTTGGCTTAGAACGATCAAGCATGAAGTCTATTGACATCTACTTTCTCCCAACACCTCGGTCACGGAGAAACCTGGGATTGTATGAGCTCATGTTTTCAACATTTGTGAGTAAGAATACGCTGGGTGAGTGTGCCTTTGAGATTGGCGTACCTCCATCATCCACCTGAGTTACTACACTCCAAGCAGCGATGTGTCCACGTCAATCGGACCGGTAGACTCAAAAGCACACTCTCACCTCCCTTAGCCCACAACTCAGGAAGGATCTGTTTGAAGCAGGCCAGGTGTTGAGATAGGTCTTACTCTGTTCGTCTTGTATCTTGCATGGTAGACTGGCATCATTGCCTGACGCGCTCCGCCTTGGCCGAACATATCCGGTGACATAGCGGTGGTGTTGTATCTAGGTATGTGGAAAACTTAGATTTCATCGGATCTTATGCTGCTCCGTCGTCCGACGACAAGTGAATAGACCTTGCAAGATGAGAAAAAATGGCTGGCGAGCTTGTGGGAATCCCGGAATACAAGTTCCAAGCCATGATGGATTTAATCGAAATGACTGACGTCTGTGAACATGGCAGTGTTCGGAGTCAACTGAAAGCTGTCTTCGACTTGGTACACGGCTCACAGTTGCCAGGTCAGAAGCCAGGCGTGATGGAACTGGCAAGCACCAAGCAGAAAGTCATTCGATCGGAGATTGCATGATGATTGACTTTATCCCCGATGCTGATTGGCATATGATCATCTTTCCTGGCTTGAGATGGAAGGAGTGTGGTGGTGTTTCTGGCTTTCTGGCAAGAGCAACACGGCCGAGAGGGGCAGGTGACCATGCGGGAAGATTGCTTGTGCACCTTGCCAGCCGAATTTGGGAGCTGATGTTATGGCTACACTTTCCTGAACCACAAACGACAGGCATCACCGGCGCATGATGCCTGTAGATTGTTGCGCATGTAGAGTTTGTCCTTATCTAAGCCGGCAGCACCCACAGGGGGAAGGAAAGTGCAAGGGAATTACCTAACTTTCTCCCAATTCTTCAAACTCCTTCCCTTACCTCAATTCTCCGTTTTCGTTTGCTTCCAAACACCCCACACGACTCGGAACAGAATCCCTCTTTCAACCACCCTCATGATGCGTATTGCTGCCAACTCATCATTTGCTGCATCAAACCCCAGAGCGAACTGAAAACACCAAATCAATCCAACATTCTGAACCCGTTTGCTCCACATCTCGCATCCCCTGCCGTGAGCTTTGTGGTACACAATCCGCCTGAGCTCCGGCGGCACATTCCCCACTTCACCGGTCTTGCGGAGGCTCTGGACCTTCTGAGAGGGGCCGACTTGGCGTTCTTTCCAACTTCATCCGAACTGTTGACGAACCGGTGTGGGCCCTACAAGTGGGGCATTTCCTCCCCTGTCGGGCTTGGCAAGGGCTCTAGATCATGCAGTGGCATAAGGGAACAGAGGAATCCGAATGCATTACGCCAAGGGATTGTGTATCGAAGCAACCTACAATGACTCCTCCCAGTTCTTCCTTCTCCGTTGTTCTTCACCTCTTTTTTTTTATCCTCATTCTTGGTCCATACACGCAATCACCAACTCACCAGTGGCTGAGTGCGACCGAGAGTCCACGGACTTCCCGAAAAGCGTCTTGGTTCTGTTTGCAAACCAAATCCATCACTTACTCAGCACTTTTGAAGCCAATCAGTTCAATACCTCAGTTCATGTGAGTATCTGCGGATTGCTTCATGACCCGCTCATGAACTCACTCTTCCGCTCACAGGAGTGGCATGGTTCGTCTCCGCTGTCAACCTCTTTAGATCACCCTTCACAGTAGAAGCATACACCTTTGTTCGGTCGGTGTCCTTTGCAATGTTCGCTGTGTCATGCCCGGCGGCAAATGGAACTGAACTTGCTGCTAGTCGTTATCATGGACCGCATTACCATAGGTTTTCGGTCGGTCCCTTTGCTTTGTCCGTTCATAGTCATCCCAGCAGCAAGTGCTTTTCGAAGAGAACCGAATGCATGTGAATCAATCCTCGATCCTTGAATTGAAGCTTTCGGCTGATCAACTTTTCCCTAACAGTGGAGTAAAAGGCAAGAAGAGCCCGAGATGCAAAACAGATCAATTCTCAGACGTTCACGAGTCACATCCATGTCAAATACAAACGAGCTTTCTGGACCATGATTGGATTCTTCCATGGCGCTACTCAAGCTGACAACCGTCTTGTCTTTGCTCAGTGCTGCATTGACTGTTCTAAACATGCCAGCGCCTGCCCAACACCGGTTCCCCTGACGCGTGGCGCGAACTACATGCGCCTAGTGAAAGATTCACTGGACTAATTACCGTTTTGTCGCCAACTTGCCCATCATGTTCTAGTTGATCTTGTTCTTTGGCAGGTAAGCCCTCCACTTGCTGTACCTTTCGACCTCCCACTCGCCTAATAGTTTCTCGTCAGCCTCCATGTTTCAAAAACATCTCGCGAAATTCCCAGCAGAGAGTACTTACCAACGACGTGAGAGAAGATCGCCTCACAAAGACGAAGCTTGATCCGAGCGACCTGGTCTCGGGGGTTCTCCTTGGCCTCCTGGCGCGCGGAGGCCTTTTCTGACAGAGCAATGCTCCTCAGCTCCCAGAGTGAGTGCTTTCCCGGGCCGATGCCGCGCCACTTGTACTTGTGGGCAGCTTCGGTGAGGTCAGAGTCTTCCGGGCTCTTGGTGTAGTCCCGGGTGAGAAGACGGACTGTGGTCAAGTGTCAGTGGGCTATCAAAGAAAGCATTAGATGAGGTCGAAAAGTACACTTACCAAGCTTGTCCATGTCCGGAACACCGTTGGGGCCGCATGCCCACGGGTCGGTGTTGTCGGCGGAGGGACCTGATGATAATGTTTGTTAGCCACTGGAGCCACGGGAAACTTGCTTGTTGGATTACTCACTCTTTTCCTTCTTCGGAAGGGCGGCGACCTTGGAGAAACCCTGGGACGGATTGTGGTCCTGGTCATCGGAGTCCTCCTCCTTTTTCATCACGACGGGCTTTTCCCGGGCTCTGGTTTGCCGCTGTGCGGGAGTGGGAGCGAGGGGATTCACCCCACCGGCGGCCTTCATACCGCGCGTCATCCGGCGGTCCTCAGGCGCAATGGGCGGGTCATTGCGTGCGTCCTCCATGACGACCTGAGGAGAATTGATGGTCGCGGCGGGTTCCATACCGGGCGTGACACCGTGGTTGTCGGGGACATTGACGTGGTTGTTGCTTGTGTTATCCATGGTTGCGATATGTTGATGATGTAAGGGATTGTGTTTGGAAAGTTGTTGGTGCAAGCCAGGTATGACGTGGTTACGAGAGGTTGCAAGTGGAATGAACGTTTTTGGGGACGAGAAAGAATGGAATGGTGGTTATAAAGACGACGGTCAGTATCTACAAGACCGGACAGTCAAGTGAAGTGACAGACCCCATTCACTGTCAACTCCAGGTGCGTGCAAAAACCTTCCCGTTTTCTGGGCGTGTTGTCGGATGAGCTGCTAGTCCAGATGCTAACCGGTACCCACATGACAGGCAAGACAAACGGGAGAAGAAAGAATTCACTGCTATATCCATATGAGATAACCAGACGATGGAGGCCGTACTCATCTTGCCATGGGCCCGCAAGTTCTCCTGAGCAGAATTCCAGTTCATGACAATTTTGTGCCACTTGGCGCGGTATATATCAACAACTGCACACATCGAATCTTCCTTAACGAAGCTGTCTAGCTAATTGCTTCTCTTCTTCCTTTTTGGCGTGGCTTAAATGTGGTTTGAGCGTTGTACTTCAATCCGCCAAGATGGTCTTCCACTGGCTGTCATCCCCGCAATTCCCTTGGTTCAGATGAAACCCAAAAATCAACTGCAAGCATTCCACGGACGTGGTCGGCTCTTAACCCGTATGGAAGGAGAGTGCAGTGTACTCGGTGCGGAGACGCAAGCGAAGTTTGGGTGAAGGAAGGTGCCGGGGTCACCAGACTGGAGCCGGTCGTTCCTTCCTGCCTTGCGTTTCTTCGTCTTGTGCCATCCCGCCAGGTCCTCCACCTGACAGTCTGCTCTAATTATTCCTCGTCCATTCTTCATCATCATTTCCACTACCGGCTCTCACGATGACCGAGAAGTAGACCGCCTCCGCACTGTCTCTCCTTCCTACCATTACGCGCGTCGAAAGTACACACACACGAGCACCGCAACAGCCTTCACGTCCAATGGCGAACTCTGCGAGCATAAGAGAGAAGCCCAGCGGGGCTCGAGACGTCTCAGCCCGCTTCCCCGTGGGCTTCCCCGACAACGTGGTACACGCCAGTCGCCGGCTTTTCCAACTCCGAAAAGACCAAGATGAAGAACGCCTTGCCCGGGTTCGTAGCGCCGCAAACACCGCTACTCATAGCGAGCAGTCCCAGGTGTTTCAAGATATTACCAACGCAGAGCCAATGCCCGAGAACACCGTTGCATTGACTGGCTCTGCCGTTGGTAGCGAGAATCTACCTTTAGGGAATGGGCAGGGCAAGAAACCAAAGAGTATGCGCCTTTCCCCTGAGAAACAGATTATCTTCTGATTCTACAAACACTATCCTGTTCCAGAACATCCTGCTGACACCGAATGTACTCCAGGGCTTACCGTTCGCTTGCCGGACCCTCATGTTTGCCATGCGATGCTGTTCATTCCAGTCGAACAACTCAGTATGTCTCCTCCCACCTGGGCCCTCCTCCAGAGCTCTGTTTTGCCACCGTCCCATGCTAGGCCTCCGCTAACAAGATGATGCCAATAGTGGAAGAGATGGTTGTCGAAAACAACGGCGAGATCCCGACAAAGGAAGATATCGAAAACGAAGCGACATACTTCTTCGTCGACGCGTGCCAGGAGTATCCGGCATCGCTCATCCAGTTCACCGCCAAAGTACTCGTCGATTATTTCGAACCAATCCTCGAGCGCACGACACCGACATACAAAGTATACGAAGCACTGAAGGCCAAGACCCAGTTCGTGAAGGCCATGACGACTCACCGTGCCGGTATGTTTCCGCGGCTGTTTTCACGAAGACTTTAAGGGTCTTTTGAAACGAAGGAGCGTTGCTGACCTCATGTTTTAGAAGTAGGATACGCATTCAGTATAACTAACAAAGCCACCCTTTGGCTTCCCAACGGGCTCTAGTCATTACTTCGCGGCGGCGCCCAGAATCACGATCCGATCTATACCTGTCGACCGCAGCCGGCCTGATATGTTGCGCGAAACGTACGCCATCTTGTTTTCCTTCCTTCTATCCGATCCTTGCTGAAGCCAGCGTCCAAAACCGGAACTCTTTTTGGGACTGGACATGTTTTTTACCAATTCATGAGCAGACATATGGCCAAGGGGAAGCATTGATGGCCTGGTGTGGAAGAAAGAAATCTTCCTATATGTTAGAGCGGCACAATCGAGTACGGGAGGAGGGAGGGTATGCATGTAACCATGTAGGATGTCGAGTCAGATGGAGTGGTCACTAGCTAGCGCAAGTGACTCTAGTCTCTAGGAGTCAGTTGAGAGTAGTACTTTTTGTTTACCTGTTCACCGTGGATGGTTACATTGCTTCTTGCCCTGTTGTTTAGTTTTTTCTTCATGAGCGTTTCCAGACAAGTGTTCTGTACAATCCACCGTATTCCCCGCAGCTCCTCAACTTATTTCTGCCTCCTTGGACCCAGCAACAGCATCATCTGCCTGACTCAAGCAAAGTTTGCAGTAGCACACAGCGTGCGCTTCTCTTTCTTGATTACGCAGTATCGAAAACACTTCGCACAAGCACCAGCGCCGAATATCAATCGTCAACACTAGATATGGCTCGCGTCAAGGATGTCAAGCCGCGTAGGAGTCAGAATCACTATCTTCAACAGGGAGAGAAGAGCCAGTAGTCCAGAATGGCGTGAGGACTGGGAGTGATCTTGGGTCCTCCATTACTCCGGGTCCTGTCCCTGGGCTAGGTGTGCCTCGCATTACTACCCAGCCCCATGTCTCATCAGGCTGTTTCCGCACATTCACTGACTTCAACAACTGCAGCCGGCAGGAAGGACGCGGACCGGCGATCATCGATAAAAAGAACTAGCCAGACAAGTACTCCAAGCGGATATACGTACGTCCCAGCCATTGAGGAAGAGTCAAGTGGCTGTGATTTGGCTTGAGCAATGCAGTCAAAAACAAACAGAATTTGAAGGAGCAAGAAGTTTGGCTGGGAGGTTGATTTGGCCGGTTGCAAGTGTTGACACAGCATGGAATGAAGCAGAAGATACTTAATGCAGGGAATTGAATACTAATTGACACCCCTGGCATGCTTAGTGGCTTGGTACTCCCGTGTTTTCTGCTGTTGTGATGGCCGTTGTGATGTTCCTGTGTTGGAAACTCAGATAGCGCCTGCGGTTTTCCTACCTCTCTCAGCACAAACTCTTGTCACTATCGTTGTCGTCGATGTTTCTGTTTCCATATGTTTTTTGCCATTACGTGAGGTGACCGAGCTGGTCCAATGACTATAAACATAACACCTAAGACTGCCGGAACGGCCTTGGATAAACTACCCCACTGAGTGAGTATCTGTGAGGGCTGGGCCCCCTTCTGTTACAGACCTTCGTCAACTAATATGGTGATAGGGCGAACCTGATTGGAACTTTGATCCGTAACCGTTGATACCAGTCAGTCGTTCTATCCTCAGAGGGTGTGTAAGTACTCTGGTTATCTCCAGCGAAGAAGGTTTGACTCAAGAGTGGATGTAGAACTCCCGAAGGGTTTCCTAATTGAGAGTGTCCGCGAGTGTTGCCGGCCCGGGCAGTTGCCGACGATTAAACATTCACTCGGAGACTAGGCGGATAGGGTAGTCCCACCCCATCCTATGCTGCATTTCCTTCCTTCTTGGATCGCACCACCAAAAACTTGCACCTCTTCCCAAAAGGATTTCCCGGCATCGCATACCGAAGTCGCTGATCCCGAATTACGCAACCATCAGCAGATTACCTAGGCGCATATAACAAGCACAACTAACCAAGATGGGTGGTGTAAAGTACGTCAAGGAGCGCATCGGTGAAGAAATTACCGACTGGAGTCAGCTCCAGAACCGGCGCCAGCGTCGCGAAGAGCGTCAGAGAATTCAAGAGCTGGGACGTCAACAGGAGCTGGAGCGTCGCAGAGAAATAGGCGAGCATATTCCAGAGGACGACCCTGTTCCTGCCGACACTCCGGCCAATAATTCGACCGCCGCTTCCGCCAGCGCTATTCCCAACGCTCCCAAGAGACCTGCTAAGAAAGCAGCCCCGAAAACCCCCGCCGCTCCCATAAGGAAGAGGATCACCAGGGCTACCGCAAGGGCTACCGCCAACACTACCACCAACTCTCCCAGCCCCGACACCACAGCCGCCACGACCACCACCCCGGACACTCCTACAGTCACGACTTCAGCATCTGCTCCGGCTACTATTCCGGCCACCACTCCCGTCCCCGCTCTGGCCAACGCTCGAAGACCTACTCCTGAAACTGCCCGGCTGACTCGTGGTCCTACCGCTGCCGCTTTGCCTATTGTTATTGACATGACCGGTGATGAGGAGGAACATGAAGAGATGGTGGGATTGTTGGACCCAGCATTATTTGAGCCCGTCAAGAATGAGATTGTCCCACAGAAAGTCCAAGCGCCCGTTGTTCCAGAGAAGCCCCAGAAGACTGTGGAGCCTGTCACTCGACAGCCCAGCGCCCGTATCTCGCAGCCCACGACCTCCCAAGCCGCCATTACCTCAGCCAATCCTCCTGCTATTGGTACGGCATCCCGCAGCACTCCAGGATATGCCTCGTCAGTTGCTCCGGTATACAATCCAGCAACCCTCTGTTTATTTCCAGTACTGCTCCGTCTTACGCTCCGACAGGCCGCCTAACACACGATCGGGTCACTGCTCCAGCATACGCTCCGGGCAGTGTTCCGGCGCATTTTGACAATGCCTACACGGCCGCCCGGGTGCCACCCTATGCTCCGGCTTACGGTCCGGCTTATGTTTCTAGTGGCTACGCTCAAGCATATCCTCCGTCTGACTACAACCAAGGATATGCTCCGTCTGGCTACAATCAGGCATATGGTTCGGCTGACCACAACCAGGCATATGGTCCCACCTGGCTACGCCCGGTCATAGTCTCCGGGCAGCAGCTCCGGCCCATGCCCACGTTACAGCTCAGCCAAATCCTCAAGCTACCGCTCCGCCATCTGCTCCCGCATCTGCGGCATCCTCTGCTTCGGTTAAGGCTTCTGTATCTAGGGATACTTTGGCACCCACTCCGGTATCTGCTCCGGTCACCACCCCGGCTACTGGTAGAGCCACCGTAACTAAGCCGAAGAAGGACGGAAAGCAAAAGCTATCGCAGCCTGTCACCGGCGGAAATTTACCACAGCAAGCCGCCCTAAACAACGCTGCCCAAGGAAGCCAGGATATTGCGATGCCCGCTGCTGATCAGTCCAAAGCGCGTGTCAAGGCTGCACTTCAGCTGGTCCCGGTTGCTGAGATCGGTACGCTCTCATTCCTTCAAACATCTTCCTGCTTCACTCACCCTACCCCTTATTCACCGTGAAACTCCTGCTAACCTCTCCCATAACAGTCGATCGCATGTTTGCCGAGGGTTTGGAGCGGCTTCAGTCACCAACCCCAGAAATGATATCGGCGGAGGCTCGCAAGTTCCTGGCTATGGCCCACGAGAACGAGACAGCACAAGCCGTGAAGAAAGCGGCGACGACGCTAAGCAACGATGTCATGGAGAGGATCAATGATCTTCAGCGGCAGAATCCCGCTGACCGCTTTGGCCTGGCGTCGGAGGTCTTGAAACTCAAGCTGCAGCAAGTCCTTCTCAAGGAACTGGCAAAATGAATCACCATTGTAAGCTGTTCCGCGGTACGGTGTAAACTTACCCATCATTTGAAGAGCCTTGCTGACACTCTTCCACTAAAACAAGCGTGCTTCATACCGCGCATGAATAGTTTTGTTACTTCTGTACAATATAGGTGGATAGAATGCGCTACGTCAATTGCATACCTTCTACGCTGAAATTACCCTCGAACATGTACCTAATGTGACCTAGTGAAAGAATTTCTTTTGTCTCATGAATATCCCATTTGGTCCGTACCGGAGAGGACAACGTCTGAACCTCAAGGGACGGAAAATACGAACATATTGCACTATTCTTTGTGGGTGGCCTGAGTCTTGTTTGTAAGGTAAGACGGTCGAGAACGCCGGGTCGAAATACTGACGATCCAACAAACGGTCACATTTTCGGTCATCACTCAGAATATCAGCACGTCAGAAGTGAGCACCATATTGCTACAAAATGACCGAGTATAGTCGGTTAACCAGGTATCATAGGTAGACTCCTTCTCCTATTACGACGTATTCTTCCGTCACTCCGCCCTTCATCTCATTCCCCTTGTCCTGCCCACGATGACAGACTTTTCTTTCGTCCTCCTAAACATATCAGCAGCCCATCTCATCTGATTATCTCGACGTTGTCGCTGCAAAAAGGCAGGAAGTTCGATCTAGAGCTCCTTGATCCTTATAGCTTGTTTCCATACAAGTCCCACTACTTGAAACTGCTCTCTCAGGGCTGGCATAGGGGTGACAGTCTGGCGGTAATCTCAGCATCCTCGGTGGCTGTTGCGAGGCGAATGCGCTTACTCCTGCGAGCACCCTCTCGCGGCTCTCGGAGTTCTCGCACACGCTTCGCAGCTGGCTTCGCGGGGGCAGGCTTCTCGGCAACTAGATGCAGGAAAGAAGAGTCAGCACGACTGTACAAGCGAGACTGGGGCACCATTGAGGCGGCTCCTGGCACCGTGTGCTTGGGATGGGGATACTGGATGGACAACTTACCAGGTTTCTTAGGACCCAATAAAGCATCAATCATGGCGGCCATGAATTTGAATTGCTTCATCAAGAACTCATACTGCTGGCCAACGGGGAGATCGCCCATGATTGTAACTGCCAAGTGGTCCAGGACGACTTCGGCTGCGTCGTGGATTTCATCGATAGCACCAGCCTTCCAAGTTGATACTACGAAGAATTCCGCCTGGGCGACCACCTCTTGGTTCGTGGGGGGAGTGCCGTGATGGTACATGTCCTGAAATGTTGCGTGAGTGGAAGGTTAGCAATTGAGGCTCACAAATAGGAAGGATACGACATAGAGGAAGGACACGACACAGAGGAAGGACACGACACAGAGTGATGGATTGAACTCAGGACATGAATAACTTACTGATTTCGCCAACAGGGATCTTCTCCATAGCCGCGTGCAATGGGGTGTCAGGCTCAAGAGCGGGAATGATGACTAGAGATTACATCAGGATCAGTTTATGAGCAACAGGAAGGAGTGTACATGGGTTCTTGCTTACGTTCTGTTTGCATGACAGCGTCCGAGTCCGCTTGGTATGCCACCGGCTCAGGGAGGATGAGCCAGCTCTCGTCCTCTTGCTCGACCTCTTCCTCGACGACCTTCGACTGTCGACCCTTCTTCCTCTGCTGACGCTTCTTCGCAGCTGGGGACTCGTTCTTCCAGTAAGGAGGGGGTTTACTTGACATCTTGGTGCGAACCATGATTGCGTTCTTGGTTGAGGCTGGACTACTGGAGTCGGTGATATTTTCTTGGTGTTCAGGGCAATGAGAGAACGTGGGTGAGCGTGGAGATTATTACCTGCTGGATGATGTCGAGTTGTAGAAGAGTGGAAGAGCGAGGTGTGTCGACGGCGCCGTCATATACTCAACAAGCGACATGCAACTGTGGAAGCGAACCTGGAGAGAACCTCAGACTCCAGCAGTCATGAATGGTTACAAGCAGGCTGTTCACCCTTCACTGTCGTCAAACACGCAGGGTGTTCATGACATATCGAACCTTGGTGGTGAGTATGCCTTCCATGTTTGCTGACTCTTAGGTGATTCACCGAACACCCTGTATAGAACCTTAACGATTCACTCTTGTCCCCTCCCCCTTCTTCAGGCTCGCTTTAAAACCCGTCGCTCAAGACCGCAACATCGCAGCCCATCTTACCAGCACCTCCCACCACCTTTTTCCAGACATCTCAATTGCCGATTCAGCACCCGACCCAAGCACAAACTCACGTATCATCGACACTCGTTATCCTCACAATGGCAAAGAAGTCCACCAAACGGAGTGCCGTGGTCGCGATAGCGCAGACCCAGAAGCTCGAGCAAAATGCTGTCGACGACGCGAAGATCGCCGGCGCGGAGAGCAATGCCGCGGTCGTTGTAGACTCGACCCTCCCCCTACCCAAGCCTGTTTCCCAATCCATTGCCATGCCGGCCGAAAACGACACTCCGAGTGTGCCGGCTACTGAAGGAGAGACTACCGTCAAGGTGAAGAGTGAGTATCCAGTATCTTCCTCTCCTGGGCCTTCTACCTCTTGGCCTATACATACTGACCCAAACCCCAGAGATCATCCTCCACCTTCCGTCGACACGCGTCCGCGGCTTCATGGCGATCGTCCCAGTCGACATCATCAGTGAGTTCCAATCCCCGAGCCGGGGCAATCTTCTTCTTATTTACAAATATCTAACGCATACTCTGCCTATCTAGTGGATGAGTTGATTCACGCCAAGCGCGGAAAGTCTCATACTCCTACCGACGAGGAAATCTACGACAAAGCGATCAAATGGTTCAACAAAGCCTACTACACTGGCACAAAAGTCCTGTCAGTCTGGAACGCGACCAGAGAGATTCTCGAGCATCTGGACAGCGTCATCATGGGAAAGCTTGGCTATTCCCACAACAAGCCACACGGAAAAGCGCTCGAACGCCTCGAACTGCAGCAAAAGTTCTTGCGCGCTCTGCAACAACTTCAGACTGATATGATCGCCGACCAGAGTACGTTTATCACCCTACGTACATTAGGTACCCTGTCTGGTACACAACTTCCAGACTGAAGGGCAACTTCGAGCTAACCTGATACTTTACAGAGGTCCTTGACATGGTCTTACCCCGCAACAAACTCCACGCGGCCGACTTGAGAAGTGGAATGCTACTAGAAGCTGCTCACCTCAAAAAGGAGAGGGAGAAGAAGGAAACCAAGGCCGACCGAACAGTAGTTCAATTCAGCTGATAAACTACTTTGGTCTCGAAAGCCTTGTTGATCCTTTCAACCTTCAACCAAAGGCTGGGTTTCAAGGCCTTCTTATGCCAAAGAGGTGTGGTACGTACTGAGGTGCGTACCGAGCCTTATTGCCTAATGCCTCGAGGTATCTATCTAGCGGTATTCATGTGGATCTTCCTGAGTGCTTTTCACCCATTCTCCTTCTTTCCTCTAGCATCGGCCTCTGTCCGGTCGTCATTGTGGCCCAGCAGTCACTGGAGCTGCACGTACGCATGCACGGGCTGACCTGTCTTTCATCCACATTGTATAACAGTGCATATCTCACCATGCCCCTAACGTTGCCCTCTCGCCCCGTGATGAAAAGGGAACCTCAGGATGATGCTCAGCGCCATCGGCAGTCAAGGCTAATGCAAAGTGTTGAGGTTCTGTTAAGCCTCGGAACATCTAACCCAGAACTGTGGGCAAGTTTCCGTGTGACAAAACATCATCACAAAGCCATCACAGTCATCACAGGAGCAATCACGCCTAACCGAGCAGAAGCAGGGCGCCCGGGCAAGTGCCGGCGCCAGGAGGAAGAAGGAGAATGGATGAAGGCATTCAGAAAAGACCCAGATGTATACAGATCGCTAGATAGAGACCTTGGAGCCTCAAGCGACAAGGACCGGTACGTACCCAGTACGTACCGTTTCCCTTTGGCATAAGAAGGCCTTGAAGTCCAGCCTTCTCCTGGAGGTTGAGAGGATTAACAAGGCCTTCGAGACCAAAGTAGTTTATTAGCGGAATTGAACTACTGTTCCAAGCTCAGAATACTGCCCTTGTCACAGATGTTGTCCAGCCTCAGGATGTGTTCAGTCAGGCTGCAGTATCAGTCCATCCTCGAGATGACATGGGTGATGCCGGCTTGGTTCGACTCTGTCGCTTTCGCAGGGTTTAGGAGGATCTAGATGAGGTTAGCGGAAACGGCCGTTAGGCAGTCGAGTCATCAATTGGAGCTCCCACCTGCAGTCCAACACAAACGCCAGCCCACGGAAGTGCGACTTGTGGTATGTTCTGGATGGCCAGGTTGATCATGCCCTTGGTCGAGAGGACAAAGTGGGCGACATCACCCAGGCCCTTGGTGATCTTGGCTGCTGCGGCGGGCTACTTCACTTGGCCGTCTTGGACTAGTTTTCTCATATGTCGCTCGGCGGGGTCCATACAAAGAAGCGAGAGGTTGTTCGACTGCTTGGGAATCTCGTCCTGGAGTCAGAGAAAAGCGTTGAAGCCCTCGCCGTACATGATAGCCATATTGATATCGAAGATGCCGAGGAGACAATATGCTCCGTCTTTCACCCTCGTCGTCTCGCAGGCCGAGACCCAAGACATCCGTCGGCCAACAGCAACAGTCGACAACAGTTCACTGTTCAGGAGCACCTCTACGTCAATCCCCGTGATGCCGGATATCTGATGTCGCAAGACTCTCTTGTCCCCTCGGAAACTACCAATACCTATCGTTGAACTCTACCTCTTCCGGGGCGATCAATTCCTGGAGTATCCACCCACGAGTGAACCATTTGGAGTCCGCCATATCTTCGACAACCCTCTCCTCCCGCTGTTCCTCGTCCTCGTCTTCCTCGTCCAGAGGGCTGATTCCTGCCTGAGGTCGACTAGATATGCAAAGCAAAACGACGCGCCAAATCAATTGCCTGGGTTGGGCAGGAGTCGTAGGTTTCCGTCACGGATCTACAGGATTGGCAATAGTGTACCAGTAGCGGCCTGGTAGCTTGCACCACTTATGGGGCCATGGCGTGGGTAGGGCTGTAAATCCGAGTGGAACCTGCAAATTGCAGTAGAGCCTAGGCTGCCAGTGCTGTCAACAACCAAGCCGTTGCGATAACCAGTGTCCTTAAGCGGACAATGCATTGATGCCTTACTTTTCATTTCCTTTGGGACCCATAGGCGCATAGAACCGACGCCAAGCGGCGATCGCACTGACAGTAAGGCATAAAACAGCTGTCCATACTACCAAAGAAATGCTTTCCTTAAAGTCCAAGGTTCAGCTACCGGAAGACGAGCTTATATGGCTGCGACATAGGATGGTGCCAATATACCCGTACCGCGGGTATTGCGCTCTGATAACAGGGCATCTGCCCCCCTCCCCTAATTGCAGGGAAAGTAAAGAGCAAACATCAAGGAAAAGTGAGGTACATGTCTTCCGTCTTGAACCCTGCAGTATTAAGTGAATGTAACCAGATCAGCTTTTCAGCTTTTCCCGGACATCGTTCGTTATGCGGCGTTATGGTTTCCAATCCTCCTCCTACGGACGGTATTATCAAACTTGGCTGTCAAGCAGGCTCGAGAAAACTACTTCGCTGAAGTTGGTTCCCTTAGGGCTCGTGGCCTATCAACCGAAGATATGCCAACCCCCCCTCCAAATCCTTTCAGATGCTCCTTCGGTCCCAGTTTACCTGCAGCAACAATCATTGGTCAATACTTGAACCCCAAAGATCCGGTTTCCGACACCGCTACGAAAATGGTTTTTCCAAATTCGAACAACAGTGGTTTTGACCAATGCTGACACTCGAGGATTCGGATGGCATTGATGATGGAGATGACGATGGGGGTGATGAGGATCTGGACAAATATGTGCTTTGGGTGGAGATCAAGAAGCAGGTTGCTATTCTGAGGGAGGGGATTGAGCATGAGGATCGAGGCGATGAGGTTGGGACTCGGTGTGCTGTAAGTGGACTATGGAAAGCAGGCATAGCTGCGCGCTAATGGTTTAGGATTAGAACAATGAGAGCATAAATGGCAGCCCAATATCGAATTGCCAACTCAAATTCCATCGACATGTTTTCAGTCCATATCTAGCTGGGAATTTCCAGGCGACCTTACTGGGTTTATGATGAGGTAAGTTTTATTCGCGTTGGATTGTATAGTTGCAGCGGGCCGACTTCTGCTACAACCGGAATCTTCTCAAGAAATCTGAGCAATGACCGCTTAGAGAATTGCTAATTATCAAACGAACTCTCCATCATTGACCGTATGGCCAGGTGGGACGCATCCATCCCGCCACCTTTGAAGCTCTTGGGAGTCCACGTCAAAGTATTGAGGTTCGAAGTCGCGGCTCAGGGGCGAATCGGCGAACCCATCAGCCGGAGGTGGCGTAAAAGCTGTAAGAGTGGCTGACGCTGGTGGTGTTATACCCGCTTCAATCCCGCTCGCCCTTGATTCCATCTCCGTGGATTGTGGCTGTTGTTCGTATACTGATGTTGGTGACTGTTGATATGCATCGAATAATCTCGATTGCACGTTGCATTGCATTTCCACCAACCGCGGCAGCAGGCAGTCTCGGTTTCGGAATTCCTCTTCAGGCAAGCCCTCAAGCTCTTTCTGAATCATAGGACGCATTTCTCTCCGAATGAACCTTGCATAATTCTCAATGCCGCTGCCGTCGGATTGTTCGTAATCTGGCAAGGGAGCACTGTCAGTGGTCTGGACGCACCGTTGGTCGATCACGCAAGGAGCGAGCACTTACATGGCAGAGGGATTGAGTCTTTGTCGTCACCCGGGAATAAGATCATGTATATGTGACGCCACTTCTCCTCATCGGTCATATTCCCATGCGTTTTCTTCCGGCTCTGTAGTTTCTTCTTTTGTTCCGGTGAAACCCAATCGACGAGGCTCAGGTTCTTTTGCTTTTTGCATGGCGGATCGATTTGTTGATGGGCGATGAGTGACTCGTCGTCCTCGTGTGTGCTCCAACAGCGCGGGCACTGGATGAGGCAGTGACGTCGGTATACATGACTTCTAGCGTGCTGTTAGTCCAGTTTCTGCGAGAAGGCGTTGTCCAACTTTTCGGTTGTCATACTTAACCCGGTGAACCTCATCCCAGCCAGGTCCCGGACAGGAAGTCCACTTGGAATATTTGTGTGGGTTCCTCTTGTAAAATGGACAAGCAAACTTCCGGTCACTGTTGACTTGTCCTCTGTGTTTCTTCCTTCTCCCATCGTTATCACCGTCATCCTCAGCCGCACGCTTTCTTATTCCATCATTTAGGTTGGCCTCATTGGCCGAGCATCCAGTTTCACCTA